ACCTGCGCACATGCTGTGACAGATGTGCTGCGTCTGGGTATGGAGTACTTTATTCCATACTCCGATGTATCTCAATTCGGCAAAGCTCGCCCCTGGTTTGGACCTCAATGTGCTCGCGCTGAAATGCTGAAGCATGAGGCATACCTAGCCTGGGCTGATGCTCGACAATGCAAAGCTAGGGATACAAGCCAGAAGAAGAAAGCATTTAACAAGGCTGCCAAGTCATGCAAGAAGGCTCTACAGCGGGCTCGCTTCGATCACATAAGCCGTGTAGGGCACAAGCTCGCTTCGTATCCCGCGGGAAGTAAAGCGTTCTGGTCCCTGGCAAAGTCGATCGAAGGGAACTTTTGTCGCCCCTCACTGCCTCCACTGCTGAAGCCTGACGGATCGCTAGCCCATACCGCTGACGAGAAAGCGAATTTATTTGCTTCTCTTTTCGCGGAGTATTCGCGCCTCGATGCTGGTAGCGCGTCGCCTCTTTCACCTCCTGGCTGTTTGACTCAAATGTCAGAGTTCAAAATTCGCCAATCTGAGGTACGAAAAACGCTGCGCAATCTGGACGTGCATAAAGCTAGTGGTCCCGATGGTATTCCAGCCATTGTTCTGAGGTCTTGTGCGCCTGAGTTGACTCCTGTCTTGACGCGCCTCTTTCAGCTGTCCCTTGCAACTGGTAAAGTGCCGAGTTCTTGGAAGCTTGCTAACGTACAGCCTGTACCCAAGAAGGGTAGTCGTGCTGACCCTGCTAACTACCGGCCTATTTCAATTACGTCCATACTCTGTAAGAGTATGGAACGTATTTTGAACCACAGGCTCCTGGCGTACCTAGAATCTAACGACCTCCTAAACGACCGACAATACGGCTTTCGCCGGAATCGGTCCACAGGTGACCTTCTAGCGTGCGCCACGCACATATGGAGTGAAGCCATCGAGAAGTACGGGGAAGCTCTAGCAGTTTCTCTCGATATTTCCAAAGCCTTCGACAGGGTCTGGCACGACGGTCTTATTAGCAAGTTATCCTCATACGGCCTGCCTACTGGGCTTTGTGCATGGATTTCAGACTTTCTGAGGGATAGGTCTATTCGAGTTGTAGTGGATGGTTGCTCCTCGGATCTTTGGGCTATCAATGCCGGTGTCCCCCAGGGGTCGGTACTCTCTGCAACGCTGTTTCTGCTGCACATTAACGATCTGCTAAGACCCGGTATCTTTGGGTATGCAGACGACAGCACAGTTGTAGAGAGCTATATATCCACCGCGCGAGCCAGTGCGACAGAAATCCAGTCCCATAGGGAGGCCATGGTCGAGCGCTTGAACCTTTCTCTTTTGGCTGTCTCCGATTGGGGCGATGCCAATTTAGTTGGGTTCAATGCTGCGAAAACCCAGGCGTGTCTTTTCACAGCAAAAAAGACGCCATTTAATCTGGCCCCTACTTTCCGGGATGTAACCGTACCGATCAGCGACCATCTCGAGCTACTCGGTATTACATTGTCACCAACCCTCAACTTTGGCTCATACATTGAGTCCAAGGCCCAATTAGCAGCCAAGAAGTTGGGTATCCTCTCGAAGGTGCGACGATACTTCAAGCCGGAACAGTTGCTTACATTATATCAAGCACAAGTTCGGTCGTGCATGGAGTATTGTTCGCACCTCTGGGATGGATCGGCTAAGTACCAACTTGAGGCGTTGGAGGCAATTGAGAAACGAGCGATAAAGCTCATTGGAAATGACGCGCTTTGCCGGGCAAAGTTACAAAGCCTGGAACATCGACGTAAAGTTGCCAGTCTTTCGGTGTTCTATCGGTTGCATTTCGGTGAGTGCGCAGAGGAATTACATGAGCTAATTCCTCCCGCCCCTTTCTACTACCGGACGAGCAGGGAAACGGCAAGGCGACATCGATTCACGGTGGCAGTTCCAAAGACTCGCACTAAGCGATTCGCGTCCAGCTTCATCGTGCGGACTGCCAAACTGTGGAATTCCTTGCCTGAGCCCTTGTTCCCCGAACACTACAATCTAGCGGTCTTCAAAGCAAGAGTGAACCGGTTTTTATTAGGTAAGCGCGCTCCATCGTAGACCATAATATTGCTTTCCATCAGGCGAATTATGGTCAAGCGCTTACCTATTAATGAATAAAAAAAAAAAAAAAAAAAAAAGGTATGGTTGTCAAATTCACTAATAGGTTTAAATCTCTAACGCCAGGATGCGTTATGTATATCGAGCAGTACGCAAAAGTTAAAAAAAGGAAATTATTATTTATAAAGCCTTTTTTTCTCTTCAGGAAAGTAGTGTTCGTTTTTTAAACGATGCGAAAAATGCTTCCGGCACGAAAAGCGAGTGTTCGTATTTTAAAAATTGAACGAACAAAGTTTGGAAGTTGGCGCGAATAAGTCTTGCATTCATTCCGAAACGTAAATGATGGCTGAATTGATGGAGAATGATATGCCAACCACTTGTTGAATAAAATCTTCGTGTGTTTTCGTAACTCGGGAGTAGCGACGAGCAACGGCGACGCTAAAATGACGCTTTGTTTGCATTTCCCAGTTTGTTTTAAAGTCGCTAAGAGTCGGGGAGGTAAAACTGTATGATAACCGTTAGCTTTTGTATAGCTATACATAAAAAAAATAACATGTTAAAATATGAATAAACGTTATGTCTTAATCGAATAGACTGTTAAAAAGATATCATAATCAATTTTACACCAAGTACTTAGTTATAAAGAAAAACATTTCTTCGCTCGTCGCATCGCAGCCCCCATAATTAAAAACATCTTATACGTCCTTCCTTGGAAATGCTTTAATTACACTACAGTAGCGACAGGGAATGACTGTTTATTACGGGGGTTGAGATAGAAATTACTTAGGTTTTAAAACGCTTGCAACATTTTAAACCTTCTCTTATATTTTATTTGCATTTTTCTGTTTTGTACCTCGAAGGTCAGTGGGTTAGTAATATATTTAGATTATCATTGTTCTTCTTACAAATTGTGATGGTTGAGCGTGATGAAAAGGTCATAAACTTATATCATATCGTGAGGCTCAGACTTTTAGGGTTATAGTACGTTCCGGTGAATCATTAAAATAACAAGGAGGTACTTTTCTGCTTACAACATAGGGCACAGATTAGGGGCACATAAAGCAATAGATAGTGTAAAAGGCGGCATTACTGCAAGTAACAAACTCGGATAGGCAACCTATGGAGAAAGTAAATGAGAAATAATTAAGAAAAATATAAGTGGTACAAGAATGGACATCAAATAATAATAATAATAATTGTTTATTAAAGGCAAATAAAACCCAATAAAAATGACATATTCAAATTACAATAAAAATAAATAATTTCATAAAAGAAAAATAAAACAATTAAAACAGGTAGTTAAAGATTACCTACGTCATTTGCGGTATTCGCTCTGGTGCACTGATATACGAAGCACATATTCGTTCTATAAATTAGAATTAGGAAAGAAAATAACTCGATTTGATAGGTAAAGTAAATCCGTGTACCTACAAGATTTCTGACTCCTTTTGTGAAAGAGGTCCAGAGCTAGAACCAGAAGAATAAGGTGGAAACTGGATAGTCAAGTTGATAGAGCATTGTGGCGAACGTTTGAATAAAATAAGAGAAAAATAACAATATTTATGATAAGGTTATGTTATGTGGTCACATTTTCAAAGAAAGTCTGATGCTAAGGTCTGATTTTATCTTCGTTAAAAATGTCTTTTGGGGTTATTTTTTTTAAGTTTTATTCTTAACCCTGTTATAATGAAAATAAGTCATTACCCCCTTATTAATAAACGAAGACTACACTTGGATTAGTTACCCCATGTTTTGTCTCTGTCTATTGATTCAAAAATGGCATTTGAGTGACATGAACAAAACACGGCGGCGTAACTAGTCTATGCTTATTTATTCGTTTATTAATAAGTGGGTTAGAGTTTTAACTGGTTTCAAATATATTTTTTCATTTTCTTTAAATATCAATTTTGCTAAAACTATTTTTTGTTTCTCTCAAAAATATCAATAAATTCATCCACATTGGAATGTGACACAGAATAAAAACATGTTCCGTTTCTGTTAACGAAGCTGTACTAAAGTACAGTACGAGCGTTAAAACGCTCGTCAGAAAGTTTTATATATTCGAAAAGTTTTGGAAAGTCTCACACACGCTCACCGTAAAAAGTTTCTTTGTAGAAAGTTAATAAGCAGTGGTATGTACCAGGGTTTCATAACAGTGGTGGTGGTATCCACTTTCAGTGGCATGTCCATTTGAAGCACTATCGATTTGCGCGCTGCAGAGCGTTGACCCGAACAGGGCAGCCGGCCGAATCGCTAATTTATTAATTATTTAAAACTAGCGATCATACGGTACAGCACGCTGCCTGCCTGGTATTCCAATCGCATCGACGGATGCGAGAGAAAAACTATTTAATAACTTGTAAATAAATAGCGGCCTTTCAGAGTTACCGTAGAGGTAACTTACTTATTTTATTTATTTGCAAGTTTATATTCTGGTGGATTTAATTTTGGATTTTTTTATGTCTCAAAAGTTAATATTCACATATTCATACAAGTGCATTGTCATTTTTATAACTAATTCTTAAGAAACTTGACTCTGAGATGTTTTAATTTGGCGGTAATCTGCGCCTCATGTGAACGCGGCCTTAGAAGGATTATTTTATTTACTCAAAAAGTTGCAATTATGTTACTGATACTAACTTCAGAAGGTTCAGTGACTGATAAATATATCGCAATACCCAGTTTTTCCAAATTAACTTTTTCTGTCTATTTCATTTTCTCCAGCTTTTAATAAAAATAACCTTATGCCCAAGGTCCGAGGTTCCTCTTCATACCAGATTCATCAAAATTTAAAACACACTAAAATTACTTTCACATCTTATAGTAAGGATTGTACTACGTGAGTTTATCGTGACACTTAATACTCTGACCTAATTTTAATACGTTGTCAAGCAAGGTTATTTTTTTTAAACTCTCTTTTTATTTTGTTACAGGATAACCTCACTCCAGAGCCATCAGATATGAACGACGACGACAACTTCTCTAGTAAGTATAACACCGCAAATAAGGTAATTAACATTAAATTAAATTGACTGCAGCCACTTGCATCAAATCAATTAATTAAATTGATATTTTATGCAAAATTCCAAATCCCACTGTATTGTGAATCGAAAAGATCGGGCATAAAATATCTACCCATTGGCATTTGTTTGTATTTTTTGTGGAAAACTGTAATTCCAAATTTGAAATTGATTGGCGAATGTGATCTGGTGCAGGTCAGGCCCTCGCGAAAGACGCAGAGAAGTTGAAAATGATGTTGCTTGCATGGAATTACCACAGCCAAACGCAAGGTAAATGTTTTTTTAAATAAAATATCAAAGAGAATAAGTTAAGTTAAAATATGTCTCGCTACACAAAGATATGTTTGAAATATAAATTGGCTACGTTGATGATATAGTATAAGTACCCTTTGGCGAAATGTGTAAAAACTGGCTTCTTCGCTTTTAAATTAGGCATTGGCGTGCATAATTTCCACAGTAGCAGGAGGCTTGTTGGCTATTTTTACAACGCGAAGCCATATCGAGAGAGTGGCCATGTATCAGGGGAGCAGACGCAGGCACCTCAAATTATTTATAGGCGGGGGCTTGTACGGGTTGACATTTAGAGGCAGATGCACCGTTCGCTCACGGGTGCGTTCAGCGCCTCTTTTAATTTATGCTGTCCTTATGACTAGGTGTGCATACAAAGTCAAATTATATGTTGAAGAAAAAATATAAAAGAGACTGTCAGATGCACCTAATGATTAAATTCAAAAATGATTGAAGTACTTAGGTCTGGGGCTCTAGGTAGCTGCGTAATTGATTTAAAAGTATAATAGACTATATTCAATTTTAAATTGGCAAGTGATTATGGGCTGTTACTATAAAATAAATTGGCTACATACTTTTTTCAGTATAACTCTAAGTTATACTGAAAAAAGTATGTTCCTAAACCCAGTTACGGAAGTTGAAGTTCTTTCTATCTTAAAGTCATTGAAAAATAAAACTAGTTTTGGAATAGACGAATTTCCGCCGTCATTAATAAAACAATGTAAAGAGGAGCTCGTTGAACCCTTAACTTATCTAATTAACCAATCTTTTAGAGAAGCAGCGTTTCCAAAATTATTAAAAACTACAGTTATCAAACCTGTACCTAAACAACGTAACGCAAATGAACCGCAACATTTTCGACCTATTGCACTACTATCTACCTTTTCCAAAGTGTTTGAGTCCGCTATGGCGATGCGTCTAACATCATTTTGTGAAAAATTTGAAATTTTTAATAACTGTCAACATGGTTTTAGGAAGCGTAGATCTACTATTACTGCCCTTTATGAGTATTTTAATGAAATATTTTCAATAATTAACGAACAGAAATATGCTGTAGGAGTATTGCTTGACATGAGCAAAGCGTATGATCGAGTTTCTCATAAAATACTTTTAAAGAAACTTCACTCTATAGGGGTAAGGGGGATAGCACACCAGTGGTTAGCATCATACTTGGAAGATAGGGAACAATTTGTACAAGTCGACTATTATAATTCTAAAAATAACATATTAAGTAAAATTATATCAGAAAAAGATAGGATAGAGAGATCAATTCCGCAAGGTAGCATTCTTGGATGCATTTTATTTCTAATTTATATTAATGATATATCATTCTGTATAAAGGATAAAACTGTCATTTATGCGGATGATATCTCTGTTGTAATGCCCTGCAAATCTAGCAACGAACTGCAAGAAAAGCTAGAATACAATATGGGCGAGATAATTAAATGGTTGAACGAGCATAATTTGGAAATTAACTTTAAAAAAACTAAATTGATACAATTTAAACCTAGACAGAAAAAACCTATTGAAACTAAACCTATCGTCCAAAACAGTAAATTAGATTTTGTTACCTCTTGCACATTACTAGGAATAGAAATAGATTGTAATATAAATTGGAAGCCACATATTGATAGAGTAGTATCCAAGTTATCTAGATTCACTTATGCCCTCTACGAGTTAAAGAAAAGTACAGATTTAATATCAGCAAAAAGCGCTTATTATGCTTACGCAAACTCATGGCTAAGTTACGGAATTATCTTATGGGGTAATAGTACCGACATAAATAAACTATTTGTATTACAAAAGCGATGTATACGTATATTGGTGAATATTACAGACATGGAAAGCTGTAGATCACATTTCATAAAACTAAAGATACTTACTCTTCCATGTATATATATATTTGAAATAAGTAAAATGGTGCGCAAAAATAGACATTTATATAAACATATTAGTGATACATATTTTCAAACACGTAATTTAAGAAATAGAAATAAATTGGCAATACCGTTTACTAAATTACATCTGGTAAGCTCAGGAACATACCATATGTCTGTTAAAATATATAATAAAATACCGAATCATATAAAAAACATTGAAAAAGATTGTACATTTAATAATAATTTAAAACAATTTCTTATAGATAAGTGTTATTATGATTTGAAGGAGTTCTTAAATGATAAATTTTAATGATACCTAATAATCTGTATTATTTTTTGTGTGTGTATGACATTATAAATTTTATATATGACGTTATAATTAATGATGTTTGACTAATTGATTTGATTTTTTTATGACGTAAATTTGTTGACCTAAACCGAAATTATTAAACTAAATTATAATGAATATTATGTGAATGAATTTTGAATGGATTATTACTTTGAATGTTATTGTTACTTGTTTATTTATTTTTTGATTTGATTGACATACATCTCTTGACCTAACCCTAAATGTATTTTATAATTGCTTTAAGTATAATATGAATTGATTTTAAAATTATATTCTTTTTATTAACTTATTTAAATTTTCTATCTATCTTGAATTGTTATCCTATTGTAATTTTATCAAATTTTAAATTAATATTTGTACACATTTATTATAATTTGCAATGCCCTTGCAGGGCTCATGTTTGCGAGCTGTTATTAAATTTAAGAACGAAATGTAACCAACATGAAGCAATAAATATTATGACTTAATAAATATGCATCGGATTATAAAATGAATTTTATAAAATATCATCTGGCCGGTAACTATTGAAAAAATGCTTAAGATAGGTATAATATAAAATAGGAATTCTTCACAGAAAGGAGATATGTACTTCTAGTTATTGGTGAAATTTTGTCAAATTAAAAAAACTTCCTAAACTATGGAATTGTTGATTAAGGGAGTGAGCACACTTATCGACACGAAATCAGACTTATCATTTGTCGCAATAGATACTGTTGTAAAAACTTGTTCTTTATTTGTATGAAAAGATTAAAAGAGTTTATAGCTAGTTATAATTATTGCCAAAAAGCACGAAAGTTACTTAAGTACTTAGTAACTAAACTATGATAGGCTTATCTTTACTGTGGATAGAATAATGTTAACGGTGGTTTAAACGTAGTTTGTCCGTCGATGTATTTGCTTCTTTCTGCACCGTAATGAAAATGCTATCGAAAATCCACCATGATGTAAATTCGATGCCGGACGGCGTCGAATCGCGTCGTTCGAGCCGCAATGAGGCAATCGGCTATTCGATTTTATTGTACGAATATAAACCCGATTCCGCGTCATTGAGTGTGGTCGCTACCTTATAGGGAAATCCAAATTATGAATTTTATTGGTTATGTAAAATATTTGTAAACGAAGAAAATATTTATCCAGAAAAAAAATAGACATTAAGGAGAAATAATTCAACAACAAAAGTATTTTATGTCAAAAATAGTATTGTTTTTACAACTATAATAAACAGGTCTTCGTTATTTATTTTTAGTAAGCTATTAAAAATAAACGCATTTAGCTTCTTTGTCACTTAGTACGTAAGTGTAGGTACCTATTCATCGAATGAATATGCTTACTTGATTGTTCATAATGTCAATATATTTATGCATAAATAGGTTTTTATACGTAACTCCAATTATAAGGTTTTCTAACAGTCTCTCTCCGAACTGTCCAAATCACGACAAAAACATTGTGCATGATTGAAAACGATCAGTCAATATTTTTACTTCCCTGTATTTAATAAGGGTCTTCCTTTTAACGCAGAACTTTTAATGTCATAATAATATTATTGTGCATATCAGCAGATAGCATCAACTTCGCTTCGCATTTTCTTACATTTGGGATTCACTTATTTATCAATCAGACAATCAAAACTCATATTTTTGTAAGATAGAATAATCTTTAGACATTAATTTAATATCCATAACAATTAAAAAGCAGCAATCGCAAAAAGTTCACTGTCAATATCGTTTTTTGTCATACAAATATATCAGTTTTCCTTACCATGTTATTTATATTTATCTATCAGGTGGCTGGCGCGGCATACTCGTATGTTTATACCAAATGAACTTCAGTGCAACAAAATTCTACCAGTTATAAGGAAACCCATGAAATAAATATGTTTGGATCAACTCTCACTTTGAACATGGCAACACCAACGTCCAATTCCCAACGGAAATTTCGACAAATACCTACATATTGTCTTATTCTCATTATCATAAGCCTATGATTGTCTCCACTCCTGGGACATAAGTCTATTTGTAGGGACCCAATTATACAGGTAGATGTCCCTGCCTGGGTTTTAGTTATCAATGTCTATAAAAGTTCCTACTTACCTCTTCTGCCCTGGTACTTGCAGGCCGCAACGGTGAGATAACGGAGAGCGGCGCAGACAGCATGGCGGATCTGTGGGCGTCATACCACAGCGCGTTGGGGCTCGGCAGCAAACCTCCTAAGCCTCCTACTCCCCTAGCTACTGGACACTCGGTGAGTTTTAAGGTTGAGCGGCGTTTCATGTTTCCTTTCTTAGAATTTGTATAAATTGATAGCAATTAGGGTGACTGATCCAAATGCTAGCACTGCACCAAATAATCAGCACTCTGAATAAATAGTAAAATAATAAGGTTTTCACTAACTGATTTGGGTTACCACTTTAAAAAATAAATAAATTGTTGTTTTTGAAATCCTACCACTGGCAATACCATACTTTCTGACTTCAAAATGGCAAAAAAAATGTAAAAATACGTTTGTGTCCGGCAGTTCGTCTTATTTTTGCCTGTTCTTAGAGATCGAAGGTAAGTTCACGTGTTTACATTTAATGCTTTAATAGATCTTTTAAATATTTTATATTAATACTTTTGATTTATGTGATTTCTTAGATAGTTTATCAGGATAGTTTGAAAAGAATAATTTGAGGTTATAATGACATATTGTTAAAAAATGTGGTGCTAATATATGGGTCTAATATTTTGCGAATTCCAAATTATCAGCACTGGTGCTGATAAATGGAAAATAGTACGTAAATACTTATACCATATTTTTAATTGTAAACCGTGCTTATTTGATGCATAAAATTCATTTTTTTTTCGTAAAAGTAGTTTATGCCTTCGGAATCCAAATCTTAGCATAGTGCTGAAATTACATTTGCTATTTGTCAGCATAGTGCTAATAATTGGATCAAAAGCATGCTGATAATTTGGTTCTCCTAGCATTTCATAATTTTTAATTTTTTCAGACCCACCTACCATGAAACCAAAGGAAGTAAATATGCCAAATAAAAGAAAAAAAAAACTCTTACGAAAATCTATTAAAAGACTTAGATGCATTAGAATAGGGTATGTCCAAAAAACTGGCCTCGAAAACCTTCAATAAACCTAGATAAACTATCCAGTCGCGATTAAGAAAGCCATGCAAGAAGCTACCAGACCCTGATCCACTATTGTCGAACGATGAAGAGGAAGTTTTAGTAAAAGTGGGTTTTAGATTGCTGTCGGAAAGGATTCCCAAACAAAAGACTGATTTACAATTGAGTGTAGCAAGTTTCTTAAAGAAGACAGAAAGAGATATAGAGACCCCTTAAAGGATGACATATCTGGTAGAAAATGGTATGACCTTTTTATGTGCCGTCATCCAGAACTCAGCGAACGCATTGCCGAAACTGTAATATCAGTCAGTGCTAATGTATCAGAAGAAGACACAAAAAGGTGGTTCCACAATTTTGAGTTTTGTCCTAAGGAAAACAACTACTTTAACATCTACCAGAACCCGTCTCGTGTTTTTAATGGGGACGAATCTAACTTTCAGTTATATCCTAAGAGTGGCAAAATCATTTCATTACGAGGAGAAAGAGACGTATATGAAGTTGATCACGCTGCAGCCAAAACTGTCTTTATTGTACTGTTTTGCGCCAACGGAGATATTACACCTCCACTAGTTCTGTTTCCCAACAAGAGGTTTCCCAATGATAAAAAATCATCAGTCCCAAATGAGAGGGGCATTGGTTTAAGCTGTACTGGCTAGATGAAATGTGATTTTTTCTATGATTATATCAAGAATGTATTTCATTCATTTCACATCATACTATTTGTAGATGGACACAAAACACATCTTAGTCTTGAAGTGAATAAATTGTGCAGCAAGTTGGACATTATTTTGATTGCTCTAAAGCCAGCCGACACATGTCAGCTTTTAGACCTCTCAAAAATGCATGGAAGGAAAGTAAAATGGAGGAGAGATTACCCTTTGGAGACTCTCACAAAGAATGATTTTGTACCTGGTCTTATAGAGGCTTTAGAGGTTGGCGTCAAAGATACAACAGTGATAAATGGATTAAGGACTATTGGTTTATGTCCCTGTAACTTTGAAGCCATCAACTACAAAAAATGTCTGGGTAAAGGAAATAAACATGATAAAGAACCAAAACAAGACAAATAAAAATTACAAGAAGGTTGTAATGAAGATAGAGTTATGACACGTGAAACTTTAGAAAAGATTGTAGGGCAAGAAAAATGTACCTACATTTCTGCAAAGAACGCCGCTTGAGAGTCTAATAGAAACAGAAAGGATTTTAAAGAAGATTTGTTGTTATTTCGATGATCAAACTGATGCGTCCACAACTTCCACATCCCAGGAAGCTGTTATCAAATTTCTCAAAATTGATCAATTTCCAGTAATATTAGCATAAGATTTTGTAGATAAAATGCAAGCTATGATCTCTGCAACCACTAACGAACCATCTGATGGTTCATTATACTGAATATTGTCTTGGAAGTGCGCAATTTTTATGTCTTGATAGTCAACAATATTTACCAACTCCAGTCAGATTAAACAATATTTACTAACTGCAGTAAAATTACAGGACGTATTGGTTACGGAAAAAAACGCCTGAACGAAAAGGTGTTAAAAATGTAGAGAGATCATCATTTGTTCTTACTTCAGCTGAATGGAAAAAGACTGAAAACAACAAATTAAAAACTAAACAACCTAAAGAAGAAGAACAGGCGACTCATAAGAAAAACAGATTACTGAACAACACGAAAAAATAACGCAAAAGTAGAAACCGCTATTAAAAAACAAGAGAAAAAAAGCTAATAAAATACAGGAGAAAAAAGACAATACAATAAAAGGGACAATAGAAAATAAAATACAAGATACAATAGAAAAAACAAAATAAAAGAGATAAAAGCTAACAAAACACAAGAGACATTATCATAATACATGATAATAATACGAAACTTTGTTAAGTTTATAAATACAATTAGATTGTTGTCAAATATTTTTTTTGATCCGTAGTCACACATTACCCACCTATATTAAAATAAGTCAATTAAAGAGATTATAGGTACTAATAACATTTTTTATTTCATATAATTTCAATACCACTATCATAGTGCTGTTAATTGACTCACTCTATGCTATTAAATGGTGGTGATGGTGCTATTAAATGGTAAGATGGTCATTATTTACTCTTGTCCATCTAAAAAAAATGGATACCTAAATATAAAAAATATTTTTTAAATAATCATCTTACTGATTGAATATTGAAACTAGAAAACTCGTCATAACGGGTGAAACAGCATTTTTCAATGTGATAAACGGGCTTAAGTTTGGACTAACTCTTAAAGTGCTGATAATTGGATCAGTCACCCTAATTAATTTATTTATAGCACTGTTGAACTTTCAAGAAATAAATAAGTAATAGATTGTTCATATCAATTTTCATGTGGATTTGTGTTTGTTGGTTGCAAAATAACGCTGGCAAAGTAAATATTATCATTGATTCAAGATAGTGTTATAGGTACTTTATTTAAACAGTGAAAATTGTAATAATACCAAAAACTTGAAAAAAGCTAAGAAGCAGAATCAGTAGTAGTCCTGTATTACTTTGAATTTAATATCTCGGAAATGAAAATTGGGGCTTATCTCGGTTACGACGACATTGAACAATCCACTCGAAGTCCAATTTTGATTTTACAGAGTCCGATCCACATTAGTTCGGCGACACCCGGAGTGGAACCTGCCTCGACGCACGACGAGACATCGTCCTCGGACCGTACCAAGGATGACGACGACGGCGGCGCATCTGACGACGACAGCGATGACAGGGTCGACCCTCAGCACCACGACCCGGAGAGGCTAAAAGCTTTCAATGTAAGTTTTACTGATATAGATTTATTCGATCCTTTTTATTTATTACGCAGGCAAAATCTCTATTTACAGACGTTTAGACCTCACGCCTAGCCTCTCGCAAGTCTCACGGGTGCAAAACGGAAAAGCCATTAAGCAGTTCGCGCTGCTTACGAGCGCTTGCGGCTTACTATCCGCTAAAAACCCTGCGAATACCCTCTACACTGTTAAGTGCGGAACCACGAGATCCCTGTTGAGGGACTTCACCGCGTCTCCGCACCCAGATTTATTCGATCCTAGAACAGAAATATTGAAAACATTAGTAAAGCAACTTGCTCCTTGTTACACCCACATCAAAATGGCTTAATACCTATTTTCTGTCATTACTATTAGTGTAAGTACCATAATATTATACCTAGCAGTGAAGAATGACGTAATATGATGAAATGTGCCTATTTGATTTTTGAAAAGTATTTCTAGTTCTTATATTGATGTGTCAACATAATTGTTTAGGATTGCAATCTGATATGTAAATTATGGCGAGAGAAGCTCGATGGTGCAAGGTTTGGCTGCGATCGTTGAAGTTAAGCAACTTTCGCAGTGGTCGGTCATTGGATGGGTGACCAAAAATTTACTATCTCGAGCTCCTCCGTTAAGGCCGAAGGCACGTTAAGGCCGTTGGTCCCGGCTGCATCTGCAGTTGTTAGCACCCGCCAATCCGCACTGAGCCCGCGTGGTGGGTCATGGCCCAATCACCCTATTCCAGCCATAGGGAAGGCATGTGCCCATATTTTTATATATGCCACTGATTGTTCTGTTTTGTTGTCCATATGTATCATTACCGGCCCCACAGCTGGAGCACAGGCCTTCCCTATTAATGGAATAGGGAGTTTGGGCTATGACCTACCAAGTCCATATGTACAACTATAAATAAAAGTCCTATTGATGAACAGTGAATGGGGAAATTTCCCTAACCTTGTCGTTGGTGATGTAGTAGTACTAATCTCCTCGTATTGAACGTGATTTAGTTGCTGATGATTCTAAAACGGAGAAGCATGTCGTAGGGATAGTCCTCCTAAAATTGAATGATGGTATGTTGGCTAACACAAGCATACTTTTAAATTATACTATTGCAACTTCTTTTTTGGACTTAACACTTTAAGGAATATAATACATACTTCTTAATTGGTTAGATAGGTACAGTGTTACCAGTTGTTATGAGACTAAAAATAAACACATTTATTCGCATAAAAAGTATGTCAATTTGTTAGGTAGTGTTTATTTGGAGCGTTGTATACAGCGAAACTGATGAGCATGCGATTCGATAAACAAAAATTCGGCATAATTGACAATTAACACTGTCAAGTATTTTAACGGTTTTATTATTTATTTTATGGAAGATAGATCTATCAAATATGTCAATCTCATTTGATTTTAAGTTAATAGATTATGTGTAAACTAAGCAACTTGCTTTTGCCAGCTTTGGCGACTTTACTCATTGCAGAAATACAACATAGCAGGGCAGTATTTTTTTGCCGAACGGAGAATAGTTTCTCAGATTAGCGCCCTACCTAACTCCTTTAGCATAGTAATCTCTCTTTGTTTAGTAAATCATTTAATGTTAATTATTCCCGATTTAATTTCAGATGTTCGTACGGCTCTTCGTCGACGAGAACCTAGATAGGATAGTTCCCATATCGAAGCAGCCTAAAGAGAAAATCCAGGCGATCATCGATTCCTGCACTAGGCAGTTCCCGGAATTTGCCGAACGCGCACGCAAGAGAATCAGGACTTACTTGAAGAGTTGCAGACGAAACAAGAAGGTTCGAGGTGATGGCCCTACTACTGGCAATGGGAGCAACGCGGCGGGCACCGGCAGTGCGTGGGACTCAGCGGTGAGGGTCCGATCTCTGCTTGATTTATGTTTGCCTAGTACTTGCCAAAGTGATTTCTGGGAATAGGATGGTTAAAATGTGCTTTAGTGAACTTAATATGCCCACACTTACAGACGTTGATAATGTTAAATGCTTCATTATATGTCATGTGTGTCTTCTATTGTCGTAGCATTGAATTTGACAGCAACAACTTTCTTTATAGATTTAAAGTAAAAAAAAAAGTTTATTGTATGCATAAATCTGCTCGATAAAAAACAAATTAAGATTTAATAGATAGATAGATGATAGATAGTCCGGTTCCGTTTAAGAAAAAATAACACTTTCAAGAAACTCTTAGTTTTCGGGAAGGAGGCGTCGTAAAAAATTAAGAGCACTCCATAAAATCCAAGTTTGGTTCCTTTGTTTTTTTTATGTAAAATCCTCCTCTTTATTCGTATTCAATTGAATTAATGGTTTTGACTTGTGGTAACGTTTCCCGTAACGTCTGTGGACAACCTGACCAAGGAACCTAGTATCTATAACATTCATATTCTCAACGTGCTACGGACTCTAATGAAAGTTGTACCTAGTGCACGTGACATAACCGAATCCGCTGTCTCACAGGTGCGGCCGACGCCGGCGCACCTGACCTCGGTACAAGCGGAACACATCCTCGCGCAGGCGTGCGAGAACGAGAGCCTCAACGCGAAGCGGATGCGGCTCGGATTAGACCCGGTCAGCCAACCGATGCCGACTGTACCCACGCCAATGGTAAGAGAACTATTGTAACTAACAAGTGAGGAGACGATGAATGACAGATCGTAGGATTCAAGATTCGTGCAGGCATGCGAGAACGAGGGCCTCAACGCGAAGCGGATGCGCCTCTGATTAGACCCGGTCAGCCAGCCGATGCCGACTGTACCCACGCCAATGGTAAAAGAACTATTGCAACTAACAAGTGACGAGATGATGAATAAGCGATCGTAGGACTTAAGATTCACGCATGCGTGCGAGAACGAGAGCCGAACATTTTACCGCTCAATACTCACAAAATACTTCGTTTCTTTAAAATGTGTGCACACATCGAGTGACTTCTCTTCCGCTTCCTGTTACATTTCCGATATCCTTCTGCACTCCTTTCCTTTGCTTATTAAAGCAGCAGTCCTTTAGCCCTTTACAATAATCATACATTTTTATTTATCATTGTATACATTAAAAATATTTAAAAATTAAAATGTGGTTTCTGCTTATTTTTCAATGTAAACAATCAGACAATAATAATCATTAAATAACTTTAGTTATGTATCTCAGTTTAAGTGAAAGTTCGTCTGTGTTCGTCTTCTGTCTATGAAAGTTCGTATGGGAAAATAAAATTATTTGGACCTAATCCCTCGGTTTCTATTGCTACAGGCCATAGACACGACGGCCGGGTCGGGCTCGTTCCTGGGGCTGTACTCGGGCGCGAGCAGCAGCCCCGCCGCCGCCAGCCCCGCGCCCGCGCCGCCCCGCGTCGACCAGTCCCGCACTGAGCAAGACCAACCTCCACCGCCCCTCAATAACAACTCGCTGAAGATCGACAACGCCAACGGAAGCGCTGGAAGCAAGACCGCCAGGTATTATAGGTAGATGACAGCAACTCTCCAGACAGAAGCGCCCTGCCGCAAACCCACACTACATAAACCCGTTTAAGGTCGAGAACTCTAATCGAAGCGCTGGAAGCAAGACCGCCAGGTTCTTCCCTACATATAGGTAACGGACAATCATAAAATCTCAGATGATTGCAAACAGATCAACCTTCAACACCGCTGAACAATAACTCGCTGAAGATCGACAACGCCAACGGAAGCGCTGGAAGCAAGTCCGCCAGGTATGATAGGTAGATGACAGCAACTCCTGAGACAGACGCGCCCTGCCGCTTCTCAACATAAACCCGTTTAAGGTCGAGAACGCTAATTGAAGCGCTGGTAACAAGACTGTCAGGTACTAACCTTCATATAGGTAACGGACAAGCATAAAATCTCAGATGATTGCAAACAGATCAACCTTCAACACCGCTGAACAATAACTTGCTGAAGATCAACAATGCTAATGGAAGGGCTATAAGCAAATCTGCCAGGTACTGTACCATGACAAGTTTAAGGTAGATGACGTCAGCACTGAAAGTACGGCAGCGCCCGGCCCGCCCTGCGTCGACCAGTTTCGTATTGAGCAAGATCAAACCGTGTCGTACCTCAACAATAACTCGCTCAAATTGGCCAATGCTAATGGAAACTCTGAAAGCAAGACTGCCAGGTAATGTGAGATGACACGGCACAAGTAGATCACGTTAGGGAGTGCCGGTCCAACTCTGAGGCGATCAGGATCAACCTGTGCCGCCCCTCAAAAAATTACTTAAGATCGACGACGGTAATTGAAGCGCTGGAAGTAGTGGTGCGCGTCGACGACTCAGGATCGGAGTGGACTAATATTGTGTCATCATTTTAAGTAAAATTCATTTATATAGAAACCAGATTACTTTCTTTATACATTTGCATTTTTCTGTTAAGAAATTGAGGGAAGTAGGTATATTTGTTTGCTTGAAATTAATCCAAAGTGCATATAGTTAGCCCTGACTAATTTCTATCCGCCAAAAAACCTTTGCCATTTATTCTTTGACACGATGTAACTAAACTGCGTTAAAGATACAAACGCTTGTTTTTAAGATATATTTCATATTGGTCTTAGGAGTTTGAATTTATTGGTATCCTATAGTTTAAAGGCATCCTAATCGTTAAATAAAAATTACTCAATCGATCATTTTTGTTTACAGCCCGGCATCATCGCCTGCTCCCCTGTTTCGGCCATCATTTCCAAGCACTTTTGGAACCCCACAGCCATTTGGACGGCAAAAGTAAGTTTCATACTGAACAAAAAAATCTCTCGAGTCCACCATTCTAAAAAGTTAATATTTACTTTATGTTTGTTTAATTTTCAGTACCAGCACAAGTTCTGCTTCAGCTCTTTCGAGTAGTGCTCTGCTATCAACATTGACATCATTGCCACCGACAGGTGAGTCTTGTCAGTAGTCACTACGATTTAGACATATTAGGGATATTGTCTTGCAAAAAGAGAAATGAAATTATACTTTATTCAAATTGATTTATTGAAAGCTCTTTTGAATCGTCCAATATTTTTCCTACCATCCATTCAGGACATATATGTTATTCTGTATTTTCTGAGATTCAAATAATGTCTTAGGCCCACTTGCAGCAATTTCCAAAATCACGACGAGATATACACTTAACCCACAGATAAGTTACAAAACATCAACGTCAACTTGTCATTATTGTAAGGGATGAATCTAGTTGTAGTTAAATTGAGATTGAGCAAAATTATTGCAAGTAGACCTTAAGTTCTCTACCATACACCAATTCTATCTATTGGCGAAATATTAGTTTAACAGGTTCATTGGGATTTCTATTTTGCGAATTTTTATTAGAAATCACTGATATTCAAATTAATATTTGTATACTGTTTCAGGAGTTGGTGTGAACGCGGCGATGGCTGCATATCAAAGTGCGCTGCTATCAGCTATGGCGGCACACACGCATACGTTTCCAACCAGCCTTTCTGGTAAGCAAAGTTACGAATAAAACTTTAAGGGTTCCTACATGATTATTTTGTTTAAATCAGTATTTATTTCATAATGTGTTTTCCTTGCAGCGCCAACAGATCTATCGCTGAAAAACACACCGACACCGACGTCGCTTCATGCTACTTCTACTGTATCTTCTTTAGCTGGTTCTGGGAATGCTGCTTCATCTACTACCAAGACTCCTTTGCTATCCCACAAACTATCCGGGGCTGAGGTGGGAGCGGTTAGGCAACTGATCACTGGGTACCGCGAGTCTGCCGCTTTTCTTCTTCGCTCGGCGGATGAACTTGAAGCTCTCCTCTTAAACCAACCCTAGGATTCAACCAAATCCAACTTATCAGATATGCTTGGATTCAAATTTGGATACTTCTAAATTATTGTGAAGTTTACTTTACTGGCGCGTGCCAGACGGGCCCATAAGTGCGCGGAAAGTAAAAATTTGGACTTTTAACAAAATTAAGTATGTGGACACGATTTTCAATATATTTGGATGATATAAGGGTGATATAATACAAAAACATGGAAATTGTGAAATATTTCGTTTAAATTAGTTTTAAATAAAATTGCCCCAGCATGTTTGAGATTTATATGACTGTGAAGCAGTGATTGTTTCATGTCTGTTATTTAAGAAAAATACTTAGTAAGTTGAGGTGTTCTTAATAAAAGATGCCATTTCAATGTTACGTTAGTATAATATTCGTTTAGAAGTACAAAGGACATGATTAATTACAATAGAAAAAAATGAATAGTTTCATGAATACCTTCTTGCTTGTTGTATTTATAACGCAATGCGATAGAATAATTGTCTCACTTCATATTGCATCTTTGTTTTTGAGACAAATTCTCTACAAACTGGGAACACTTTTCTCGTGTATCTAGATGTATGGTGCTTGTTTCTTCACAGTTTAGTGTTGCCACTTTGTAGGTTACTACTTAAATATCCTTGTCCAGCTTTAGAGTATAGGTTATTACGAGTAACATTCCTCTACTCGTGAGTCCACTATGTCTATTTCGGCGAACGTACAAAGGTGTCATAATTTATGTAAAAATACGTGTTGCCATTCGAAACTCGTTGGAAGAGTACAAAATTATTTTTGTGTATATTTAGATATAAGGAAGAAAATCAGGGAGATTCTAGTGTTAGGTTAAAATTTCGATTTCTTGCCTGGTGCGAATAAAACCTAGGTGATATTTATTATGAACATTTCATCGAAACGTGCTTTGGACAGTCGTTTATAGGTAAACCTATCTTTCGCGTTTTAAAATATTGAAATATACTGTTTCATTAACAAGTTAAAGGATGTAATGTCAGATCCTGAAGTGGCATTTTAGATTTTAAGAAGCACGAATTTATTTGTTGTTTTATACTATATTGATAGTGCTGTAGTTGTACTTATATGACTAATATATTTCTAATTTAAAATGGTTCTCCATTTTTCCCGTTTCTAAGAATATAAATTACCTTTTTGTGTTTGGCTCTATCAAAATCAGACACTTTGTTCAGTTGCTTTTTTAAGAACTTTTTATTTTTTTCATTTGCTCATTTACAAGTTACATTTCATGTTCTTGCGTATGTCTATTTGTTACCATAGATTTTATGGCCAAGTACTATAGGTAGGTTAAATTAGAATAACTGCTTTACGATGTACAAAATAAGGTTCAATCTTCAATCATTGAATAAGTTTTTTGATGTTACTATTGTGGCCTATGTTGTTTTATGCGAAATTTCAATATCTATACCTCTTAGGCCTCGTTGTTTGACAACAGCAGGGCCTTAATGTTACAATCGCTGTTAAATTATGTTATCGAGTTAAGTAGAATAGTTTGTTTCAAATCTGGCCAGTGTTAGTCGATGTTTTCGATTTACGCAACTAATATAGTTTTCGATCGATAAGTTGTAAACAGTATAATGTTTAAATAGAATAATTAAACGACATAAACGCTTATTACGTTGCTTCTAATTTTATTGCTTCATTGTTATGAACCATTATAGTGGAGCTTCTACTATAACGTGCATCAATAGGAGCGCAGGATTGTAATATTCTGAGTTTGATTGACGAATCAAAATCGAGAGATATGCGTGTGGCACTGCTATAATGGTACAACATATACGAGGCCCGCAATTGTAACGTATGATAGTTTTACAGTTTGCCATTTTCTCAATAGGATAAATGCTTATCGCCAGTTTTTAAATAAAATTGTAAATTCACTTTTGAATACTAAAATTGCCAAAGAGAAGAATTGATTTGTGTATGTGGAATTGCTGATTATTTTTTTATATGTATGGGATATTATTTTATAAATAAGTTAAGCTTAGTTTTATCTAAAAAGTCATTCCAATATTTTTCTAAAGAACATCATCGGTGCGATAGGAAATGCAGTAGTCATTGTAAATGGAAAATATGTAAAAAGTATGTTTAGAATATTATAAAAAGTTGATTAGAATTATGTGAAAGTTGATGTTGGGATATCGAAAAAAACGACAATGGTGGTAAAAACGTTGAGAAGATGAATTTGTTAGACATTAAAGTATATTATTATTATTAGAGATGTATAAATGGTTTACAATTATTATTATTAGTTCGAGAGAATAACAAAAATGAAGTAAAAAATTACAAAAGGCGTTTGTTACTATTAACGATATGAGAATTTAGTTATAATTTTTGCAATTTCAAAATGTGAGTTTTACAATTTTGAAAAAGAAAATATTAAATATGCTCATATACAGATCATTTGTTTTATTTGATAGAACTTCATTTTATATCTTTAACGTTTTAAGCAATAGTGATGATTCGTGTATTCTAAATGAAACAAAATGGTTTTGATTTTTTTTTCTATTTTTTTTTATTTATCTACATTGGAAGCTCGATGTTTTTCAGCACCCTTCGCAATACCTTTCAAAGGTCATATTTACATTTTTTATTTCCAAATAACTAGTTGAGTTAATTCAAAACCTTTATAATTAAAAACACAACAATTTGCTTAATTATTGAATATCTTTCACTTGACAATTTAAATATGATAATTTAATTCATAGATGTTGAAGTTGTAAAATGAAGCCCTCGCTTTCATGATCCGTAAAGCTAGTTGAAGTTAGTATGATATCATAACAACTGACAATATCTTAATTGGCATATTACTATATAAAATTATTTACAAAACATTTGTTGAGCCTGACACGCTCCGAATCGCAACCTGTCTACGGCTTGGGGTTCCGGTCTGCGCTCCACAAAAATGTCCCTGTGGCAGTGATGTCGACAAGCTAGGACATCACGGACTGTCATGCCAAAAAAGTGCAGGCCGCTTCTCAAGACATGATGAACTTAGCGATATCATACGCCGGTCCCTTGCCACCGTCAACGTGCCAAGTCTACTTGAGCCGACTGGTATTACAAGAGACGTAGGCAAGAGACCGGACGGTATGAGTTTGATTCCATGGAAGATGGGCCGGGTGCTGGTATGGGATGCAACCTGTTCAGACACGCTGGCCCCTTTCCATCTACATGGAACCAACAACAGAGCTGGTGCGACGGAAAGTTTGTATGATATTATTAATAGTTAAACAAAATGTAAATGTTTCTAGTTATAATTTTGAAAAAAATGGGGATACAATAAAAAATAAATTATTTATCTAAGTAAATATTTCAGTCGTGTATATAAAGTACAACTTCAGTGGTGGTAGTGGTCGGTGAGTAAGCTCTCGTGGGATATCTGTCTAAGTACGGGTAGAATCTTTCGTCCGACATCAAGTAGTGTGTCGCGTTTGCTATAAAGTCCATATTCGTCTGTGATCCTAAATATGAGAACATCGCCGGAAATCGCTCCGTGCCGCATCTGAAATATTGGCAAATCAATTATGTACTTAATTTTACAGCAGAAAAAACCAGCCAAATACGTGTTATGCCATGCGCAATGTAGGGTTCCGTAGTTGCCTGTAGTTACTAGAATATATTTGATCAAACTCAATATCAATTCGATATTATTATTTTTTAAATACGAATGATAACCGCCATTTTTTTTTGTTTACTCCCAGGCGGGGGAGCGGTTGTGAAATCCTGTAAAATCCTTAAAAGTTCATGAAAAGCACTTTATCATGAATTTTTTCCTGGTATTTCAAGCCAATAGTTTAGCTTTTAGAGGGGGGGAGGGGGGGGGGGGGGGTAGTTGAACAAAAATTAGCACTAAAGTGCTAGTTCTTGTTCGAGTAGGTATATTGAACTTTAAACAGTTCAATATTTCGCCAAAGGATCCCTAAATTGAAAAATAGTCTTAGAAACACCGTAGTCATTTTAAAGGGCCTATTTTACGATATCCCACACGATGGGGTAAATAATGAAAAAAAAAACATTCCCAAGTTACATTTAGGCTACCTTAAAAAAACATAATTTTATTCTACCATTTGTCGACGTGATCGATATACATATTTTCACAAATAGGTTAAATCTTCACGAAATCATACGAAACCCTGCTTCTTTCAGCTTCTTCTTTTTAATTTTATCTGGAATGAAGTATTATAAGTTACTTAGGTAACTATAATTAATGTTTTAAAGCATACAATTTCCGGATTCCCCATGAAGCGAGTCCCCATAATATGCCGTCGCTCACCGCTGGGGCGCCAGTATCCCGCTGTAAATTTAAAAAAAGCTACCATAACCCAGTAGTACAAAAATATATCATAAAAACTATATTTTATCCTTTTTACGAACTATTTCAAGTGTGGATGAATGGAATGGATCAGCCATTGATGACTTCAACCTATTCGAAGACTTGCATATATTATTTAGTTAAATCTATACTACTATTATAAATGCGAAAGCGTGTCTGTCTGTCTATTACCTCAGCACGCTCAAACCGCTGTACCTATTTAGATGAAATTTAGTAAAGAGACAGTTTGAGCTAAATGTCATAGGATAGTTTTTATCCCAGAGATCTTCTTTTAAGGGGCTGAAAGGAAGAAGAAGGAAGTGGAAGTTTGTATATGAAACAAATTTTTCACACAGATGAAATGAAAATGAAATGAAAATGAAATGAAAATGAAATGAAAATGAAATGAAAATGAAATGAAAATGAAATGAAAATGAAATGAAAATGAAATGAAAATGAAATGAAAATGAAATGAAAATGAAATGAAATGAAAATGAAATGAAAATGAAATGAAAATGAAATGAAAATGAAATGAAAATGAAATGAAAATGAAATGAAAATGAAATGAAAATGAAATGAAAATGAAATGAAAATGAAATGAAAATGAAATGAAAATGAAATGAAAATGAAATTAAAATGAAATGAAAATGAAATGAAAATGAAATGAAAATGAAATGAAAATGAAATGAAAATGAAATGAAAATGAAATGAAAATGAAATGAAAATGAAATGAAAATGAAATGAAAATGAAATGAAAATGAAATGAAAATGAAATGAAATGAAAATGAAATGAAAATGAAATGAAAATGAAATGAAAATGAAATGAAAATGAAATGAAAATGAAATGAAAATGAAATGAAAATGAAATGAAAATGAAATGAAAATGAAATGAAAATGAAATGAAAATGAAATGAAAATGAAATGAAAATGAAATGAAATGAAATGAAAATGAAATGAAAAGTCATTTATTCAGTCAAGGTTTGTTACAAGCACTTGTGAAGGTCAAGAAGCTACGCCATCGGTTCGCACAACTACGGCGGGAGACATTGTACTGAGAAGAACCGGCAAGAAACTCAGCAACGGCTGTTTTTTTCTCCATGTATTGTTTTATACAGATTCGTCAAGTTGAAAAATGACTACGTCTGAAGTCACCTTCCATCACATCATTTAGAATATAAATATATAGTTACAATAAATTTTAGAGTTAACATTATGTTTAGTATATAGGAAGCGGCATTAGTTAGGTACAATTCGAAGTCGCAGGCACCCACTGGTTTCTTATAATACAATTTATATTATCGAGATACTTCTCGATACCGTGCCGAGTTAATCTGGATTATCCGCATGATTGCGGGATAGAATACTAGGACATGATAAGCACATAAAAGGTTAGGTCCTAACCAAAAAATAAACTTTATGAAGACACTAATCTCTCCTCGGTTTTATTAAGTTTTTTTTTTTTATATAATCGAAATAGACTTACGGTGCAAGGCGCCCGTCTGCCAGTCTGCGAGAGACAGATAAAGTTCTCTGTGACTGCGATACCGAAGCGCTGCGTCACATTGTTGCAGTTGCTCCTATCCATCAAGCGTGCGTGGTACAACTGAAGAGTCATTGATTTCTTGTCGAACACACCATCTCGCTAAAACGAAATATATTAAGACTACGACCAGTTAGGTATTAGTATGGTCGCAATTCCTTTTTATGTAATAATGATAGCAAAAAATCTAATAGCCCGCATGCCTCTAAAGACTAAAGACGCTTGTGGTATCAGTAGCGAGTTTCGATGACTGTTCCTTTCATGGAACCACGGAACCTTATGAACCTTACTCATCGATAGAAAGACAACACCAACGAAAAGTGTGTTGTGGGTGTGTTGTGGTCTTCTCCACATTACTAGAAGAAATTTGACACGACCATTAGGGCCGCGGTAGCATAATGATCAGTGCATCCATCCAGATAGCGGTGGGTGCGAGTTCGAGTCCCGTCTGCTGTCTGGTCCGCGTGGAATTAGTTCTAGTAATATTTTCTTAATCGAAGAGCTCGATGGCGCAGGTGGATAGCGCTTTCCGCTGCGATCGTTGAAGTTAAGCAACTTTCGCAGTGGTCGGTCATTGGATGGGTGGCCAAAAATTTACTATCTCGAGTTTCTCCGTGCTTCGGAAGGCACGTTAAGCCGTTGGTCCCGGCTGCATATACAGTCGTTAGCACCCACCAATCCGCACTGGGCCCGCGTGGTGGGTCATGGCCCAATCTCCCTATTCCATCCATAGGGAAGGCCTGTGCTCCAGCAGTGGGGACATTAATAGGCTGATGATGATGATGAATATTTTCTTTAGATTTAAACGTCCAGCAGTTAAATGCATAAAAATATATAAAACAAGCTTTTATTTCAATTCTCTAAAGAGAAGATAATTTGAATGGAGACGTTAGTTTGTTAGTATTACCATAACCTTCGAGGCTGTACCGCTACTCCCTAGCAGAAGAAATTCGACACGGCCATTAGGGCCGCGGTAACATACCGGCAAATAAGCGCTTAAGGCTTAAGCCTTTGCACTGAGCAAAGGATTAAAGGAGGAAATACTATGCGATTTTTAATTTATGTTTAAGGGTGGCAAACAAGCGTAAGCCTGATGATAAGCGACCACCATTATCAAAGCCTATAGACGCTTACGACACCAGAAATATAATTAACACCGTTGCCTACCCTGACCCACAATTCTACCCTGTGGAGCCCTGGAACAGGCAAAATCAAAACACCACCAAAAGATGTTATTTTACTATGAATCTCTGTAAGGTGGAGGTTACTTCTCCAGGCGGGTGTTCCAATTCGATGGGAAAATCCGCTATGCCCAACCTCTCTTTAATACTTAATAGTAATAGTTTGTATGGAAATTTCCATAAAGAAGTATGGTAGTGTAATATGTCTGCTTACCCTCTCTGCGCCCCAGCTGGTAACCCAGGCGTCTTCAAAGGGCGGCATCATGATGCGGTTCGGTAAGTCGATCCCGTGTATTTTATCGGAAAACCTGGTAAAAGTATGAGATCAAATATACTTATTAATAGTATGGAGCCCAGGAAAGGATTTCGGGATTCACTAAAGCATTGCAGAATAACAACATATTACTATCATATCGAGCAGTTACATTCTTAAAAAAATTAAGTTTATTTAAGTCTTTCTTTTATGCATTTCTATGCCGCAGTTCGCGCTCTTACCTTGACCTAAAACCAAATTGAGCGGCAGCATAAGCTTGTCATGCTTCTAGTCATCTATCATTTTAGGAATCACGCCCATTGTTCTCTGATCCAAATCTATCAAGACCCAGACTCACTTGATCCTCTCGTCCAGTAGCAGTAGCGCCACGTCGTTGTCCGGGTCTCGCCGTATGCTCCATCCAGGGTGCTTCATTACCTCTTGGATTCCCACCACGACTCCCCCTCGGTCTGTGTGTCGAGACCCGGCACGCACTTGCAGTCTACTCATGCGGTTTGATCTGGAGAAATATCAGTTTCTATGAAGGAGGACTTAGATATATGCAAGTTTTTTTATGTGAATCGATGTGTTATCATGAACCTATCAATATTCCCACTGCTGGAGCAGAGGCATTTCCTATGGCTGGAACATAGATACGGTCATGCGAGGATAGGGTAGTGTCGATCGGCACGTGCTAACGTGTGCAGATGTGATCGGAATCAACGGCTTAGCGTCCTGAAATGACCAGTCCCCGTGTCATGAGCATCACGATTTACATTATGCCAAGTGCTTTATCGCGCCTAACTGTCAAACTCCATAGTAATTTGAAAATCGAGCGTGATAAAATCGTGTTATATATCATATCGTGGTGCTCAAGCTAATAGCAGTAGCGCCACGTCGTTGTCTATCCCACTACGACTCCCCCTCGGTTTGTTTTGTATGCCTCGACTCGGCACGTACTTGTAGTCTACTCATGCTAATTGATCTGGATAAATTTCAGATATTATTTATGATTCTTTATAGGCACAGGTTTTCCCTAAGGTTGAAATAGGGAGATTGGGCTAAAGCCCACCACGCGAACTCAGAGTGAATCGGCATGTGCTAACGACTGCAGATGGAGACCAATGGCTTAATGTGCCTTTCGAAGCACAGAACACCTCGATCTTATATGTATGATTTTTGTATAAGATTTTTCCCAAATGATTTACAGATTTCTATTACGCTATCTCCAATTTCCCTAGTAGAAATGTATCGTATATTAGCTTTTACTCACTTCCACACACAATTAGCTGTCGTTATTACCAAGACAGGGTTCAGAAGTGCTCCGGCGCACCAATGCTCATTGTTCTTCTGGATGGACACCACGTATGGGTAGTCCTCAATCATGGCGTCCCGAGCCGCTATCAACCTTCGGCCGGCCTTAGCTAGGAAAAAGGGACTGGGTTAAATAAATGTGAATCATATTTATTTACAAATCTTTATTCAAACAAACAAACCTCTCACAGTTGCGTGTTTGGACTCGGTAACGTTGTGACTTCTAGAACGTCTTTTATTGCTTCTAAGTCTACGTTTATTTGCCTTTTTCCACTTTAAAGATTTGATTCTGGAATCCTTTGGATGGATCCTATCGGAAACGAGAGGATGACTAGCCTTCACTGTGTATGTGGAACCATTTGCGTGCTTTTTGATAAGTGTTAGATGGCTGTGTCTCTTTTTATTCTTTTTAGCTCTCGAATTGTTTAATCGTTGCTTAACGTGTTTCGGAGTAAGTGTTTGCCTCGTCATCACTGTGTAAACAGAACCATTAGCATAGTATTTAATTATCGACAGCTCTTTGTATGTTTTATTCTTTTTGTCTGTCTTGGATTTTGCATTTTTTCCATCTCCTTTTCTTTTTTCTTTCGTCTTTTCTTTTCTTATCGCTGCAATATCTTGCTTTTTGATTTCTTTTTGCGGTTGTACTGTGACTGCATCGGCTGATCGCTTCTTCCTGATTGCTGTCATGACATAATCGGAAAGAACTTTCTTAACTCTAGTTTTCTGCGACTCATACGGATCCAGTGGAAAATAAGGGCTAGGTGGTACGTGATAAAGTTTCTTTTCCATAGACGCAACTGCTGGAAATACTGTGTAACCTTCGTTTTTTACAGGTTTCTTCGTTTTAACAAGTGGCAGTTTTCCATTTGAGAACTTCCTCGATATCAGTATTTGCATATTTTTCTTTGGCAAGATAGGTTCCTTCTTGTGATCTTTATACCCAGGATTCTGAGGGAACACATCGCTCAAATGTAAAAGAAACAGGAGAATCGGTAAAATCTTCATGCTTCACAGCCACCAAGGTAGCGGGTACATTGAATCTGACTATAAAATCAATTTTATGATTTTCGTGATGGTTCTCGTTAAATTGAGCGATAAGTTTCTATTGTAGTAACGTGAAAATATTACAGTGGAGTAAGATTAATAAAGAATATATGAGATTTTTTTTCCTTTCTTTAAAGATACGAATGTTGAAATTATACCGTATTCACGATTTGTATATTGAGGTTGTATAATGCGGTCAAATATACTTATCCGTGAAAAGCTCTCGTTATCTTAACTTCAAATTGAACTTCATACCAAGATTCAATTAAGGTCAAGTTATTTCAATAATTTGATATAATTTTGTAAAATCATGCTAAATACATAGTTCATATTTGTTACTTGGTGTCATATCAATAACGTCCATTATAAATCTTTAATTAATTGTTATGAAAATTATGAATGCTATTGAAGTATCGTAAATAATAAATAGTATTCGTAGTAAGAGAGAAAAGGATACACTGACAGACTGACTCATCTAGAATGTTTTTTTTATTATTTTATTAATGATGAAATTTGGATAGTAGGTAGGAACCTACTATCCAAATTTATTTATTGCCTAGACAAGTAATAATATGTGATTTTTTTGAAATTCAGCCTCTTAAGTGTTAAGTTTGAAAGAAAACGTATGTTTGTAAAATCTTATCCCTTTAACCTATTGACTTTCATTTTAAAAAAAATATTTAATAGATGTACACTGTTACATTTTTTATCACTATTTACCTCAAAAAATTATATTATCTCGTGTTTAAAGTTTTTAGGGGGCGTCCATAAATTACGTGAGATGTTTAAGGGGGGGAGAGGTCAAGTCAAATCTTATCTAATTTTACGTTGGAGAGAGGGGGGGTCTCGGCAAATATCACGCAATTTTTTTTCTGATTGAAACAAAAAAGAATATACTATTTTGGTCCATTTAATCCAGATTGTACATGCTTAAGATTTAATCTTAAGCGTTATAGTAAAACGGCTTAACGTGCCTTCCGAAGCACGGAGGAGCTCGTGATAATAAATTTTTGGCCACCCGTCCAATGACCGACCACTAGGAAAGTTGTTTCACTTCAATGATCGCAGCCGAACGCTCTCACCACTTGCGCCATCGAGCTCCTCATCCTCCTGTGTATCATAAGTTCTGTGCGTGTACCGCTATAAGGTGTGGCAACAAGCTAAATCGTAATCAGTCTGTTTATAATTTTATTCTATTTATCTTAGAGGGTATAAAATAACTCGAACTATCTAACTCACAACTCTTTTTTTCCCAAAATTTTCTAAGTAACTTTCCCAAAATCTTATTTTTTCCGGAAGTAGGGTTACCATTTAGGAATTTCAAAAGTCCTGACAAAAATCTTAACTTTTTGAAAAAAGTCCGGACTTTTTAGTCACATAAAGGTTACTCAGTTACAATGGTATGGTATTTAAATCAATATGTACTTTTATTTTTTACATTCAACGTAATTTCAAAGATCCGGACAAAGCCCGGACATTTCCGGACTTATCCGGACGGATGGTAACCCTAATCCGTAAGGGACTTAAAAAAATGATGAAATCGGTAAAGACGTTTTCAAGTTACGACTTGACAAATCGTACAGTATGAACGAAACATTCTTGTTTCGGAACAGGTAAAACTAAATAATAACTTAAATCAAGAATTTTTATTACAATACCTACATGCAAAGAAGCACGTCGGTTGTTTTCAAGAAAATTGAAGTTTTTAGATTTATCCAAAAGTCCGATAGATGGCGTTGTTAACTATCTAGATCGCGTTATTGTTATACTATTCCGTTGAACGTAATCTGTTTAATACTTTCTAAGGTTTAATAATAATAGTTAACATAATTATAACTGAATTAAATTTGAAGAGCGCCCTTCCATTTGAATGGGCGTGCATCAAAGAGAAAAGGTATATATAGGGAAAGGGGGGAAAGCGTGCATGCATATATATATATATTTATTGGTTTTAAACGCAAACGGATATATATCGGATTTCAGATTTTAAAATCGATTTCTAAATCCGTTTTTAGATATCCGATTTCAGATGTGCCTAACTTAGCCAATTCACTAGTTTAAGATTTATATCATGCTTTGACTCAGGTTCATAGTGGTGAACCCAGGTTTCATCACCAGTAACGATTCGGGCCCTAATTTCTTCCTTTCTCTCTCCACAGAGCTCCAAAAACAGGGGAGAACACTCGACACGCTCGCGTTTTTGAAGTGGCGTAAGCATTCTCGGAACCCATCTTGCACTGATCTTAGTCATCCCAAGATTGATTCATTATGTTTCCCATAGTATTTAATACACCCGTGTGAGGCCGGGACAGGCCGCTAGTACTAAATAAAGTAAAAGTAATGGTTTTATCTTTACAAAGTTCATTTATTATTTACATTTATACTTAAGAATTAATCTTTAGGTGCGATCTTCTTGTAAGTGGCCAGTTGTACCGCTAGCTGATGGAGTATGACCTTCGCTGAGGGCATCTCTTCGGTGGGCTGTGCGCGAGACAGACGGACTACTCTACCGCACTCTCTCACGAAGTATTCTAGCTCGTTCTCTAACTGGCGGCCGTCACCTGAGACCAGTAAATCTTCAGTCAAGGTTTTAAGAAGATATGATTAAGACTTTGTGGTTGTCTATCAAAATAATGCTGAGTGTAGGCCTCCTGTCAGTTGCATAGCATAATAATTAAATCAATAAATATTTCCAACTAATTAGCCTAGCCCCAAAGAAAGCACTGTAGGCTACTGTTATGGGATACTAGAGTAACGGATAGAATACATATTATACTGATACATATATAAGTATATTTATATAGAAATACATATTAAACATCCATGACGGCAGTACAAATGCTCGTACGTAATCATCATACAAATATCTGCCCCTACCGGGATTAGAACCCGGGACCTCTCGAGTAGGCGACACCTTGATACCCGGCGTATAAATCACTCGGCCATGGAGGTCGTTAAAGCACTCTCATAAGCACATTTTTGACGTGAAAACTTCTTGTACACTTTTTTTTGTATGGGTAAAAATGTTTAACTCGCGTCAGGTTAAACACGTGGGCTGATCGCATCACGACACACAATAAAATTGGAAAGGTTGTTGACTATCAATATATTGGACGAAACATAGTAATATTTTATTTTATCGTATTATAATAATGTCTCTACCTAGGACGTCCACGTGGCAGCTTTATTGCGAAGAAAATGCATTTTTTTTTACAATAGATGTCGCTAGGTGCGCTTAAAAGTGATTCATGTAAGTTGATTTCTTTACAATAGATGTCTCTAAGTGCGCTTAAACGTGATTCATGTAAGTTGATTTTTCTGAGAGATAAACTTTTTTAATGTAATATAAATTGACATGTTTGTGTACGATAGCGCAATAAATAAATATTGTATTCTACCACATACATGATAGTACTTTTATACTGACAATTAAAGCAATTCGTGCAAAATTATTCCCTAACCATTCCAAAATATCAATAATGCACAACGTTAATATTCAAGTTTTCACTTCTGCCGGCACTCCCGGAGTGCAACCCGTCGTTTTTTTTACCATAACAATATTGTCGAAGTTTTTGTACCTCTTTATTATTTCCCAAAAAGCATTTATCAAGAAATACTATTTATTGTAATTAATTGTCTCCCATTAGCGCGCACCGCTCTTCATATGAGCAATTTTTTTCGTGGCTAGGCCTAACTAGTCGTCCTAATTTTTTTTCCCATGAAAATCAAAATAAATCTCATGATATCCAACAGTATCTTACAGCCGCATGATTCAATAACTTTCGGATATAAAGCATATCAGCACCTTGTCCCATCTTAGACGCGTTGGGCTGTAGACATTTATTAGCCAGGCGGGCCAGCTGGGACTTCTCCGAGCTAAAGGCCTCGTCCAGGTCGAACAGCTCCAGGGGCGGAGGGGGAGGCTCCCGGAACGTAGGCGGGAAAACCTGGAAAACACGAGAGCTTAAACATAAGTACGCACCTAAGCTTTTACAAACACATAATATAAACTACGTAACCATTTGGTATTACCTATCGTTGGAGTAATATTGAAATAAGTAATATACATTGACCAATTATGCTACCGCGGCCCTCACGGACCACGTCGAAATTCAAAGGCAGCGCCATCTCTTCGCATTATAGGTAACCCACAATGTCAAATGAATACTTTTACAAGTATTAAACATTTGAAAGAAGAAATAGCAATTATAGTTATAATTTTTATTATTTTAAAGCATGTAACTGCTTGATTTTTAAACTTAAATGCGATACCTATAATGCGAAGAGATGGCGCTGCCTTGCAGCTTAAGAATGGCAAGAAGTAATATACATATTAAGTAATTAGCTAAGTCAATTAGGAATTATTAACTGCGCTTAATTTTGCTATTTTTTCTGTTGTTTGATGCTCTAGCACAGAGAGTTTGATGTTAAGATATGAACCTTTTTGGACTTGTATAAATCAGAATCCATCCACATTAAAATTTGAGACTTACGGCTAATTGTAACGGTGGAAATGGCGTTTCGAACTGTGGTGCGATGAGGCGCAGAGGTTCATGTTTCACTCCAAGAGCTTCATACAGTCCCAGTACTTCAGGTACTGAAAAAATATATAATAAATATAGATATAGCATGATAAAACCATTCGGGAACCATTTATCTTTTAGTGTATTAGATGCGTCCAACGCAGAGTGGTTCCCGTCATCTACCTTTGATCCTCTTCATAGCTGGGCATTCACATTTTTTCCACTGAAATAGTTTTAGATAAAGGGAACGGGCTATAAATGCACCATGTAATCCATGTGCGGCTTGGTTTAGGCAATAACTGCAGAATTCAGGTGCAGCTGGAACCAAGTAAGGTATTTCGTCTCGTACTCCGCACCAAGAAGGACGCTTTAAAATTTTGTGCCACATTAATTAGCAATTGTACTACACTGGAAATATAACATCAGCGTGGAGCACAGAGTGATTTGCTGGATCTTTAAAAAAGACAAAAGCTTAAGTGTTGTCATCTCGTCTGTCATGCGGCATGCTCGTCACTAGGGGCACCTGCAGGAACGGCGTTGTAGCAGATTATTTAAATGATGAATGGATACTCACGCTGTGCCAGGTTCAGGGAGAACAGTCTCCATGTGAAGGGTGCGGTACTGTACACCTGATAGACGTATACTTACGCTGCGCTAGGTTAAGGGGGAACAGTCTCCAGGTGAAGAGTGCGGTACTGTCCCTGTAGCATGAGCACCACAATATACACACATAGATACACATAGATTCTAACACGATTTTTATCGTGTCGAACTCTCAAACTCCATAGTAATTTGACAATTAAGCATGATAAAAACGAGTTTTATATTATATCACGGTGCTCATGCTAGGGGGGCTGATATACATATACTTACGCTGCGCCAGGTTCAGCGAGGATAGTCTCCAGGTGAAAAGCGCTTGAGTACTCCTACACCAGATGCTTCTCCCACACCAGCGACTATTTCCTCAAACGAAGCTTGTGGGAAATCATGAGCAGCTATCGAATTGCGTGACGATAGATGCTAAATAAATTGATCAGCGGTTTTTCAACACAAATCAAAGAGGTTTTAGGGGGGCGATAAATTTTTGTATTCAGGCGATGGAGCGTACAGCTACACTGTATCTTTAGCACCAAATAATTAGACGGTTATTTAAGTAATAAGTACAGTTTTATCTAGCAGGTGTGGAAGAGGTATCAGACATATACTGACGCTGCGCCAGATTCAGGGAGAAAAGTCTCCAGGTGAAGAGCGCGTGCGGGTGCAGCGGCGTGAGGCGCGGCGGCGGTGCTGTGGCCGGCACCGGCAGCGGGACCGTGCTCAGCCACGACACGTCACCCAGGGTGCGGTACTCGTTCACCTAGCAGATATGGAATATAATAAAGCTTACTATAAAGTGTAAAGCCATGTAAATAATATTAATAATATTTATTTTCACACAATATTATACAGTCCATAGAATGTTAGTAACAATTTGCCTTAAAAACTATGTTAGGTAAGTATGGAATAAATTACAAATTACAATAATATTACAAGGCAACCCCTACATGCGGCCCGGGGGTTTCGGGATAAAACCGGGACAGAAGGCAGAAAACAAATATCCATTTGTAAATGTAATTAGGTAATTTTTAACTAGTTTGTCATACTCTTCTTTATATGATGCAAAAGCAAGCGTTTACGCGTCATGAGACTTTTTGATATTAAAACAAAAACCGGTAATTAAAAATTACCAAGCCGGACGGGACACCGACCGAACCTATGTTTAAAACCGGGACGTGTGGTAAACCAAGTTATCATTACTATTATCACCATGAAAGTTTTGTCGATCACGTTGGAACATAGGCACAGTACGCCTGCGGCATAGTGCATGCATGGACTGCGACACTTCTGCCATAGATTACTCACAACCATCTTTACAAAGGAGCTTTTGGTGGTTATAGTTAACTAGTAGACTCATCGGAAACGGTATTCGCCAAGATCATTGGAAGTTACATCCAGTGGTTGAAGTTCGCTTTGATTTGGAGTTGGTACCGGCCATTGCCATAAGGTATCTAAAAAAAAGCTCCATGCTAAGGTATCCAAAGAGTATTAATACTTCATCAGGGGCAGCGAGAAATACTTACGTCAGGGTCCTCAACATCGACTGGGTTGAGATGCAGGTCCATGACACCGCCCAGGTGGTTGAACACCAGCTCTCTGATGAGATCATTGCACTCGCACTCTAAGTACTGGTCCGTGAAGAAGTGTCCGGAGCCGATCACAAACAGTTTGCCTGTAATGCAGATTAGTTACAATAAAGATTTGATTTGGAGTTCGCATCAGACCAACCAATGAAACTGTTGCTTGTGTTAACTGATTGTAAGTAATTAATGAACTCAAATTATCCTGGCACAAGCCAACCAGATGTAGGTAGTTGTAATCACCACAATTATCCACGCAATGGCGCTAGGTTGCTTTGCCAAGTTCAAAAGTTTATAATATCTTTCGACTCTTGTTTGTTTTTGTTAACGCAATCGTAGGGACCTAATATCTAGATTGATAAGTTTCATCTTTGATATTTTGTAAGTTGGAGTAATCATTGGGGTAAAATGTGCCAAACGGCTTTTGAATCAGCCATATAGCCGGTAATGCTAGTATTTAATAATTAGTAAAAAAAACTGACTATCGTAAAGTCACATTATATCGACTCGACGTTTCAGGAACCAAATAAAATGATCAATGTCTAAAATATATATAAGCTCGCCTCCAGTCTTCTCTGATGAGTACATAGCGGCAACAGGTCTCTTCACCGGATAGCAGACGTCACTGCTGGACAAAATGGCGGCCGCGGGCTTTTTGACAGTCAGCGTAGCGCCGTACGGGTACACGAAATTAGGGGTCGCAGGTTCCTCGCTGCGAAGATATTTTATTTATTCATTGGACCTATCTTAGTAAACTACCAATCTTAGTTCTAGCAATCTCAGTTCCCTTTTAGGATTAGTTCTAGATTGGGTCTGAGCATGCCGCTGAGGCTGAGAAGGCTTAACGTGCCTTCCGAAGTATGGAGGAGTAATCACATTCTTTGTTAATCCTTCGCTCTTTCTCTAATCATATCCTACTAATATTATAAAAGTGAAAGTTTGTATGTTTGTTAATCAATCACGCTAAAACTAGTGAAGGGATTTGGGTGAAATTTGGTGCGCATATGGTTTATGGCCTGGATTGAGACATGGGATTCTTTTTATCCTAGAAAAACGTTAGATTCCTGTGGGGTTTTCAAAAAGCCTAAGCTAACGCAGACGAAGTCACGGGCGGCCGTAGTGAAGAAAGAAGGACAAGAAATTAGTATCAATGAATTATTACTATAGAGCACGGACGTGGCCATCCGTGTTGCTCCTTGCATAAAAACCGAGTTAATTAGAGTTCAAACTGTAAAGTTACTTGCAGGTAATCATCAGATTCGCTGGTGTAGTTTGGCATCTTCATGATGCTCTTCAGGACAGCCCGGTTCAGGATCCCGTTGGATATGTGGCACTCTTTGGGGTGGTAAAACTTGTGGTATTTCGCTCGCACCACACAATCTGGAAAAGGGAAGAAGGCTGTCACATGGGTTGCTCATTGGATTTTGCTAGAAATAAGTATCATAATCGATAGAGACAAAGGGTAAGTAATTTAGGTAAGGGTAAGTAAGGGCAACTTGTTGTGTATCTGATTGAGCGAGGTCTAGGTTCGACATCTCCTGGCAGGTGCGCGGCCATTCGGAGACGGCTTCCGCGACCACACCCGCGGTCCTCATAGTGCGTGTCGGGTGACGGTGCAGGTGTATTGTCTGGGTTTTAGTGGCCTTGTTCAGGACGTAGGTAGGGCCCTGTTCACTTCAGCGAAGCCCAGGGCTGGCTGAAGGGGACTGGGAGGAGTCCCACATACCTTCTTCTCGCTCCCCCAGTGGTTGAAGGATGCGTAATGCATTTCCCAGACACAAAAAAAGGTTCGTCATCTCATGAGGCTACCACTGGGAAACTTATTATAAAAAAACCAGAGATGTGCCAGCCGGACTCTCCCACCGTGGGTTCCGTACAAATTTGTTGGTATAATTATCTTTTTTACGTAAATTTAAAAGTTTGTTATTTTTCACAGATTCGAGAGACCGTAGATTTGAGTACCTATGTGGTTTAAATTTCAACTCGATACCTCTACGCGTGCCCGAAGTAAAGGTTCTTGACAGACCGACGGATAGAAAACAATAAAGTGATTTTTAAGGGTTCTGTCTTTTCTTTTTGTGGTACACAACATTTAAAACACACCATTATTAACGATGATGCCGTACTCTTCCAGAAAGAAGTTGATGTTCGTGTTCATCCTCTCTTCTCCTCCGTCCGTCATGATGACCAGTACCGAATCCCCTCGTTCCACCACACTCTTCATGCTGGCTAGTTCGTCATCTGTGAACGCGTTCTGTGGCCCTGGTATCACTAGGATCTTGACATCTTGCAATATGTTTTCTGATAACTCATCTCGGTTGCTATAATGTGAAATATTTTAATTATTGTCATCATGACAGGCTACCGCTTTGTACTTACATAAATATTACAGAAAAATAGGCCGTATATATCTGTCGTCGCAGCCATCTACTGAACGTAAGGACAAACTGGCTCTTTTAATAGAAAATTTGAAGATGGCAATAAGATTAGGATAAGGATCTGTCAAAGTTCGTGTTTGACCCACAGAACTGTAAATGATCGACGTTGGTATGCATCATTGGAAGAGCTTCTAGAAGATGGAATACGGTTCATCATCATCAGCCTATTAATGTCCCCAGTGCTGGGGCACAGGCCTTCCCTATTGATGGAATAGGGAGATTGGGCACTGACCCACCACGGGGACCCAGTGCGAATTAATGAGTGCTAATGATTGCAGCGGAGGAGTCGAGATAGTAAATTTTTGGTCACCCATCCAATGACCGCCCACTGCGAAAGTTGCCACTTGAGCCATCGAGCTCCTCAATGTCGCATCACAGCACAGCCATTTAGTTATATGTATTAGCCAGTGAGTTGGGCGCCTAAGCCGCGTTCATCAAACGGTTGTGTGTTCCAATGAAATGACTGATAGACAACTAGCAAAGTCACTGAACAGAACGTATTTTTATTGAAATTGCATATTGATGAATTTGTTATGATGGGTTTGTTTTTCTAACTAGGTACTAACTACAGGGATCAATACCACGCTCCACTTGCAAATCGGATGTTAACTACTATAAGATAGAGTCAGAAGCAAAGGCTTATCGAACTTTCTGAAGTATGGAGGACGAACAAATAATACATTTTGATTACCCACCCGAAAACCGGCCATTACGAAATTTGCTTCAATTTAATAATCGCATGCATCAACATTTCAATACAGGGTTATAATTTATCTGTGATAAGGGTGACTTATCAGCATTTCTTACCCCTTCGTTTACACTAAGTAGGGTAAAACTACTAACCTAACCTAACCTAGTGTGAAGTATCACCACTGGGCCCTGGAAGTACAGTTTAGCCCTAAGTTATAATAACATGTATTTAACAAATTTTATACGATGTCTTTTTTTGTTTACACTTATATACATTTATAATACATGTAAATAGTATACAATACTGGTATCAAACTTATTGGATAAACAAAATATGTGAAGTAAATATGTGATTTATACTTATAAGATAGTAGTTGTCTATGCAGAGTAGACGAAAGAATGTTTTAAACAGCCACAACAAGTGTTCTACAAGTATTGTTTAAAACTAGTATTTGGTCTGAGGTAGGTACCATACTTGTTTCTTGGTAGAAACGAGGGGTTACTCATGTTACAAACAAATCTTAAACAGCGAAAGCGTTGCACAGAACGCAGGATATTGTTTCTTACCTCAAAATAATCTCAGAGGGAGAGATGTGACCTAAAGCTTATTTACACATCGGTAAGTACAGTAGGGAGTTTAAACACGGTCATGATTAATTAAGTTCTTATCAACGTTTGGACAGGAATTTGTCAGTTAAGTACAGACTGCTCAATTGAGTCGTATAGTATCAAAGGCGGCAAAGTAGGGCGAACCAAATATTTGGCAAATCAAAAAAAAACTGTTTAGTCTCGTCTTTAAGGGAGGATAAAATATTGACATTTCACTACGATTTGTAGTTATGATGAATGTCAATTATAAAAATCCTCCCTTAAAGACGAGACTAAACAGTTTTTTTGATTTGCCAAATATGTGGTTCGCCCTACTTTGCCGCCTTCGATACTATACGACTCAATTGTTCGATATCTAAACTCGCTACTGTACTTACCGAAGTGTAAATCAACGTTATAGAGCATAGCATATAGCTAAATGTTGATAGATCACCCTTTAAGGGATGTATAAGTGGGTACTTACATCATAACTTTCCAAGTAGTTTTCAGTTTGCGATGCAACATCTTGTAATTCTCATTTATCTTGAATAGCTCATTCTTGGATATGTCAAATAATATTGTATTCACTACCGCCTTCATTTTAATTAATTTACAGTTTACTTCCTATTTCATCCACAAAATCACCACACACAAACTTTCTGTCCTATGACTTTGGCAACAAACTTGATGTTGACATCTCGTTGCTTAGCAACCAAAGTAATATTTGTCTGCGGCCGGCCACATGCAGGTTGAGTTTTTTTTATAGATATGTCTGCCAAATGACTCCACCCCATTTGATGTTAATTGACGGTGAAGTCCAGACGTGAAGATAGCTGGTACAGCAGTTCTACCTGCCGCACCAGCCATCCTCACCTTGCCGGCCTGCAAGTTACTTCTTCACGCCTCTTTGATACTTGATTTTAAAAAGGGCATTGTTTATTAAAATAAATTAGTCTCCCATCGTTTCAACGTCCATTGCGAAAGTGAAGCTGAAGGGAATGCACCTTGATAGCGCAGTTATTAACGCATTCTATCTGCGACCATTAGCGTTAAGCAACTTACAATGGCTGATCCTAGGATAGCGACAAAAAAAAATATAAAAAGATACTTTTCAATTTAAAGATTATGGAGGTTTTAGAAAGGTCTGTTGGTCCGTCTGCATTTACTGTCATTAGTACCCACCAATCTGCACTGGGCCCGCGTGCAGTGTTTTGACCTGTATTTCTTACTAATTTTACAATCCATATATTGGATCCAACGCATTGTGCGTTGGATCCAATACAAAATGAATGCACCAAGCGCCTTTTGGCAAGCTAATTTTTTATTATTTTCCTGGCAAATGCAGCGAGTAAAATAATAACGTCGGAAAACATTTCTAAGTGTAAATTGGCGACTTTAACTGACTTCACAGCAACATAAGAAAATTATTTACTACAAAAAATTTCACTCGGTCCAGGAAGCAGACGGGACTCGTACTTTCATTCGATCTTGGACTTTTCTTAAGATTTAGACACCAAGCAATTATTTGCTTAAAAAAATAAAATATAAATCACAGCAGCTTGTTTAAAGCGCGCACCTTTTCTCTTTTTATAAATTAATAGCGAAAAAGGAGATTGCTCAGCTTCCACACATGTTTGGCCTAAAGACCAATAATCATGAAAAATTGTTTCCTAGATTCGAAATTATATATAAATTACTGTAGAAACGAATATTATTGACGGACACCCCTGAGAACTTCTATAAACCATATACACTGAACATATTATAATAATAAAAAACAAATAAGTTATATAGTAAACTAGGGAAATCAAGCCAAATACCGAAATTATGAATTAGATTCAGGTATATAGAGCATGTAGATTAACAGATAGTTGCCTGTTTTTAAAGTTAATGCATAAGAGTAACTTTTAAAATCTGGTGTCATTTCCGGTTAAAATAAGGTACTCTGTGACAGAAACTGTGTGATGATTGTGAATGAGCCACAGATTAGAGAGAATTTTTAAACTCTCGTTAACCAAAGAAAGCTAAGAGATTTAGGTTCTATAGCCATATATTCAGTAGCTTCATTATTTTTGTTATCTTTTTAAGATAACCATATTTTAGATTTTTAGTGTATCACACGTTATAATTTTATTAATTTATAGTAAGGGAACGTAGGCCCATAGATAGATACCTTAAAGTCAAGAAGCTTATATACAACACTGGAGATTGCATGTAGAACTTCTGTGTGAAGATGAGTTCATTAACCCCATGATATGTTTTTTATCTCTCTCACACACTATCTGAAATTACCATGTTAAATACAAGAAATTCCAATCAGAAAGTGAAAATAAACAGAACTATGCAAGATATCAATCAGTTTTACAATCTCCAGAAGTCCTACTCTTGTATTACTATTATAAGATGAGTGTGACAAATTCTAACCAACTACTTTGAAATCAATATTTAAAACTAAATAATAAATACGCCCTTTATTTCCCTGTTTGCTGGTTCCTACCATTTTGGTATAATAGCAACACTAATTAAAAAATCAACTGAAGATTACCGCTTCGAATGTTTAGATTATTATTAAAAAGTGTTAAATTGTTCAATTTGCTATTTATAATATGTATTGTGTTGTGTGAGATTGCAGAAGTGTTTGGGAACCAAATTCCAGCACTAAATTTCACAGGTAAGTCTATTACACTACGCCAATACCGAAATAAACATATTCCTATATTTTTATGTTGTAATCATAATAAAACGTTAGTATTTATAAATCATAGTGTCCTGAGGCTATAAATTAACGTTATTCTTGTTTTATTCACTACATTTGGTACCATATTCAGCAGTTTATTAAATTAAAATAATATAAATTTTGGTTTTGTAGGGTAACCATTATCACTACACTTGAGATATTTTGAGAAAGTTAAAATACATAAGTATTATTGTAAATAGTAATTATAAAGTTCAAAATATGAAAATAAGTTTATAATAAATACTGTAGTAGATCATGTTGATTAGATGTAGAAAACCTATTTAATAACAGCTATCTAGCAGCGGTCTTATACCTTTGTTTATGTTTCAGCTTCCCGAAAGATATCATTAAAAGAAATTCTTGGTTGTCCATTATACTGTCACAAACGCTCTCGAAACGGAACCGCGAATGTGCTAGAGATCGAATTAGCCAGAGCACCGCGGGTCGCAATAGAAGTCGAGTAAGGCGGTTTATTCTAAAATGAGCCTTATGCAGTGCGACGTAAAGGAGAAAGTGCAACGATATCTGCACTTCTTTACAAGTTATGCGTGTTACTTGCTTAGGTATAAGTAGGTATTTCGTACTCGCGGGTGCTAGGTAATTCTCAATTTAACAGGTACTTTCTAGAACTTCGACTTTCGACGACCTCCGTGGTCGAGTGGTTTGTACGCCGGGTTTCATGGTGTCGCCGACTCGAGAGGTCCCGGGTTCAAATCCCGGTGGGGACAGATGTTTGTGTGATGAATACGAGCATTTGTACTCCAATCATGGATGTTTAATATGTATTTCTATAAAAAAAAAAATGGTTGCCTGTAAAGTCGGTTTTACGGGCGAAGATTTTACGTGACAACGTCTTTTTCTCGGTAGAATATTTATTGATATGAATATAATTAAATTGCACAATAGGAACAAGGAATTGAATGAAAATAAGAATTGCACAAATTTTAACTATAGAAATATATTTTGTTTACTAAAACATTGTACATGTAAACTTAAACTTAACACGAGAGACTCATCGTAACGTTACCGAGCGTTACACTTTTTCATAAGTGACTCCCAGCCGCAACCTAATTTAAGACGTTGTCACGTCAAAATATACTTATATATATAAGTACAGTTTATGTATTCTATCCGTTACCCTAGTATCCCATAACACAAGCCTTATAGTACTTACTTTGGGGCTAGGCTAATTGGTGTGAGTGTTGGAAATATTTATTTATTTATTTACTTTCTAGAATGCATCGATCGGCGTATATAAGGGCGATTGGCGCCGCGCAGAGACAGTTGAGTTTCAACAGCGATTTCGGAGCGAATCCAAAGGCGATCAAAGTGCAACAAAAGTGTTCAAGTGAGATTGTTTAGAGACTTGTATAGTGAAATACAGTGTTTAGTGAGTGTTTTGTAATTAACATTGTGTGTTAATTGTGTGAACTGTGTGGTGAATAAAGAACTGTCAATCGTGAACTGGCACATAATTTCGAACCCCATCCCGACACGTAACAATACCATTAAAAGGTCAATTTTATTTATCAGCCAAAATATGTAGCTTAGAGATTCTAGTCCGTTCTTAGTAAAAGGCATTTCTGGCGATTTTAAAAAGGGTTTGCATATTCTTTCTCGTTAATTTTTTTATAAATGTTTTTGACATGGCATAATATAAGACGCATCTAATATGAATAAAACGATTTTTGTACTTGTGAATTTTATTACTATTAAATAATGTGTTCCCAAGTTCCTATCAACTCCAACGCTTTGATTTATAAATTGTTTAAAGACGATACCAGTAAGTATGTATCCTAAACGTATATTCCAACATGGTCACCCTTAGAAAGAGATAACAAACATATGTGACGTCATTCAAGGCCATATTTTTTCACTTCAAGGTATTGTTTGCACTGCAATCTCCAGTGTTGTATATAAGCTTCTTGCTTAAAGTCTAACATATATACAGATTATAATTTGTTTATGGAGGTGTTTGGCGAAAAATGTATGGCAATAGACTTTATGATGTCGCTTACCATCTATAATAATTGTCTCAGCACATTTGCATCTAGTGAAAATGATAATATAGTTGTGGATATTAATACCACAGTGTAATAAAAAATGATTTATTTTATCGATCTTTACAAAATAGATTTGTTTTTATGTTATATAAACAACTTCGATCAGTCTTTGGCTGAATGTTACTACACCCATAGCCATTAAAAATGATTCGTATGTTTTCCAAACCGGAAAAATTAAAAGTCCTTTTTAAAGTAAATATATGATACAAAGGTGTCCGTTGAAATCTAATGACTGTAAATTAAATTATAAATTATGCCAAGAATTACCGTGTATGTCAATATTTTTTGTACATTTGGGCAAATTTGAGCAATCTCCTTTACCGCTTGGTGAAGACTTGGCGTAATACAAAGTTATTTTTTGGTGATGTGGGTCGATCGTTTATAATAAAAAACATATCCATCTATCTATAATAAAACAACAACAGATTGTCAAATAGTATAATTTCTATTTACAATTCGAATAATCATAACTTTTCGATTCGAAATCTGTATTCTTATTAAGACTCAATAAGCTGTTCTACAATAAGCCTATCTGTATTTACAATTTCGTTATAAGGTAGCTTAGATTACAAATAATATTGCTATATTCCATGAAAACGGCTTCATTTTGAAATACGATTTTCATAGAAGTAGTTTGACTATAATCTTTAATTACACTGGTTCGTGGTAATTCCCGTCTTCGTATTGTCTTTAACATAATAATGTAATAAGATAGTTTACATTTAAAAAATAACAGTGCAACTGTCTTGCCTTCATCATTATGATATGTTTACTGTTGCGGTCAAATTTTGTAACATTAAAGTACATGATATTGTACATTTAATCAAAAATTTTGGAACATTAACATCAAGGATATATATAAATGTTGGTGCTTCCGTTAAATGCTGATGATTTTGTCACACTTCCTATCAGTTATAAGGTGGTAGGCAAAAGTGGAACAGTCGAGAAATTATGACTTTTCAAAAACAGTTAAAATTGTGAACTAATTTTTAAATTAATACAATAAATATAATTTTGTTAACACAGCCAGATTTTAATTTAGACTCTGTCGTGACATGACATGTTGTGAAATCCTCGAAAATGCAAATACTTGATTTATAACTGTTGACCATTTTATATCAAATTGTATGTGGTTGTGCTGAAAGTTTAAAATACAAAACCATATAAAAACCATCTCAATCTAAGTCACAAAAATGATGTGAATAAATGTACTAAATCGTATTAGGATTTTTTGTTTACAATATTATTATTATTTATTTAATAAGAATAATTATACTATTGTTCACGTTATGGTTTACCTAAAAATATTTGTTTGTAGAGGATTTACATTAAAATATAACGAAATGTACGTTTATTAAAAATGTACGTACAACTAAATGTAAATTAAAAATATATAAAATAAAAATATCAACTCTGAAAATTATCTATAAATATTACATTGTTCTAATTTAATCTGTACATAGAATATAATAAACTTACTAGTAGGAATGAACTTACAAAAAACTCTGCTTAAAAATATTTCTACAATATTTATTTACAAAGATAGGAAAAACTAAGTGTAGTTTTTTTTCGTAGACTTTGAGCTAACTTTGAGCTTTTAAACTAAACGTATAACTTTGAACGTTGATGAAATAAAAATTATGGCTCTAAAATTTATTAATAAAAGTGTACTTAATAAGAGCCACTTTAAGACTTGTAAATTAATATAAAAGAGTTTCACATTAGTTTTTTAACTAAACAGAAAAATAATTACAATAATTTTTCATTTACTATTACAAAAAGAAATTTTCTTATCCCTCTCGAGGTCATCTAAATTATATTTGTACAAAAAAATAACTGTACAAGTTAGTGTTTTTTTATATAACATATAAAAGACAGAGAATTATCGAGTTTCACAGAAAACATATCAATCATTTCACATAAAGAAAACTATAGTAGTTACCCTAACAAGATATGTACCAGGCAAGCAGAAACTCTAAAGAGTAGTCGACTCGACTTAACTTCGCGTCAATATTGAAAGATTCGCGGCTTGTTTTACACATTCATCATTTTATTCATACTAAACCAAATATAAGGGTAGCTATAGAAAAGCGGGTCGGCATTAATCGATACAGCTGGGCGGTAAAATCGAATATATGTAGATAATATATATGTAGATCTTCGAAAATCAGTTCGAAATTTAGACATTTGATTAAGCAGTGTAGAAGCGATTCTGTAAAATAAAATCTGACTTCCGACTTCGGTAGCTGATATTTTAGATATAAGTTTATATGCATTACGCCATTACACGGCAATAAAAAGAATGTTTTTGTATAAGGTTATGCGGGTATTGTTATGAGTATAATGAATGATGATGATAAATAGTGAAAAACAAGCCCCAAACTTATATCGACCCATTCGATAACAAATATTCTAATTTTACTTTTCACATGAACCAGGGCAGCAGTAAATCATAAGAAGCCCATTTCAAGGACATTATATAGAGCCACGATGTCGGAATGGCTAAATCACCAGAAGGGGTTCTTCGTCTAAGCATTCAAATATCGCGATCCATTTACTAAGAAATATACTAAGTTTACGGTTCACATGTATCAGGCTAGCAGCAAATCATAAGAAGGCCATATCCAGGGCGTTGTATAGGGCCGCGATGTCGGAATGGCTGGATATCCTCCAGAAGTGGTAGTTCTTCGCCTAGGCATACAAATATCGACCCATTCACTAAGAAATATTCTAAGTTTACGGTTCACATGTACCAGGCTAGCAGCAAATCATAAGAAGCCCATATCCAGGGCGTTGTATAGGGCCGCGATATCGGAATGGCTGGATATCCTCCAGAAGGGGTAGTTTTTCGCTTTGGCTGCGGCTTCTTCGTCCTGTCCATCGCCTATGACCACATAAGTGCATCTTTCGCCGAAACGCTGTTTAATTTTCTCGAAACATGTCTCTTTACCTATAAAAAGAGAGAATGAATTAAGTTTTTTTTTCTGAATATTATATACTACTGGACTCGGCTAAAGTCGCCTTGTCCGATAACAATTTAGGTACTAAAAAATCCTAGACCTGACTATAGAGCGCCACCTAACGGGAAATGTTGTAAGTTAAGTTTCTTCTAAATTTTCTGATATTCTACGCTACCTTAATTTTTTTAGCATGAATATTCTATAAAATATTAGAAGTGAACTTTACGAAAAAAGATGGATTCATTTTTAAATATACAACGCGACCAAGATCTGGTGGTGCGTGGCCAAAATCGGAACTAATTTAAAAAGGCACGAGTAATTATTTTATTTATAGTGGCAGGTAAATAAATAAATATTTCCTCTTCACTCAAGTTCACTTTATCACATTACCAGCCGTCAGTCAAAGGGTAAAATATTTAAAGATAATATTTACCTGTTTTAGTAGCTGAGTAAATGTTCTCTATGGGGAAGACACCTCCCAGGCCGAACAGAAGGACCTTAGCTAGCGCCGGCACTAGCTGCGTCGTCGTCACTAAGACGTTTACACAGTTCTCTCTGCAAACGAAAAAAATAATATTAAAATACAATAAAAAAAATAACCAACACACACCAACCAGCTTAGCCCCAAAGTTAGCACTGTTGGCATGTGTTATGGGATACTAGGGTAACGGATAGAATATATATACTGTTACGTATATAAGTATATTTTTATATAGAAAACAAACATCCATTACTGGAGTACAAATGCTTGTATTCATCACACAAACATCTGCCCCCACCGGATTCGAACCCGGGACCTATAGAGTAGGCGACACCTTAACCCAAATACATTAATACAATCACTTTTCAAAATCAATGAAGAAGAACGTGGTATTTGTATCTTAAAATAATAAGTTCTGCTTAAGTAATATATACAAGCCTAGTTCTCCCAATTGTGAAGTATGTAACAAAGTGGACGATGTCCAACACATTTTAATGGGATGTGTGAAGAACAGAAGAGAGAGAGAGAGAGCTATTCATACAACAATATGAACTTAACTTGAGAAAATAAGTTCCTTTGTGGAAATATTAGCACTACCAAACTCAGACGCAGCAAAGTCGCTGTTTGATATGGTTTTCGCTAGTAAGAATTGCTCGCCTTCTCCAATGTTTTAAATTAAATTAGTTGTGTATGTTTTGGTTAGGGTACGATGAGGCTAGCATATTCGTAGAATGAAAGTCTCCAAATAAATAAAGAAAAAAAACTTACCTGGCGTGGATCATGTTGAGACACTTGCAGGCCAGCGTGAGCCAGTTGTCGGTGGCATGTTCCAGTTCAGCGCGTAGTTGCAGCCATTGTTCGCGTTTAGCCGTACCCAGTAAACCTCCAACACTGAGGAAAAAAATATCATTTTTCCACTATATTTTCATTAAATTGATAGTTGTACTAATGATTGGGATCGATCACCAATCACCTGAAACTCGAAAAGGGGTTTCCGGAGAATCTAGAAATTTCATAAGGGGTTTATAGGGAACAGATTAAGTTTTTATTTATAATGCGTAACTTATTACTCGGATATTAAGCCGTGCCCAATAAACCGCCCATGCTGCGAAAATATGTAAGATATTATCTAGTATCTGGTAGTACATAAGTGTCGAATCTGGGATGATTTTATAAAGCTAAACGTAATTTGAGAACAGTATATCCTTGTCATTCTCTAAACAGAATGAAAAGGACAGACTCATGCATCATTTAGTTTTAAGTTTAAAGAATTGACACCACAATATACACTCGACTGCAAATAAACTTGGCCAACTGCTAGTACCTTGGAATTCTAATTAGATTTTTTCAAAAAGTATAAAACTTACAACTATTAAAGTTTGAAGTTGAAGAAAGTGTGTTTCATAATTAATAACATGAGTAAAAATTTATTCTAAAGTACTGTCAAATTACTTTGTAATCGAGCAAGAACAACAATGCTAACAATTTGCTATTTTTTTAATAAAGTCGCGATTATCACTCTTTTTTATAAAATGAAGATAGTCTGATACTTCATATCCTTAGTTTTCTCCATAGTTTTCCCAGACGTGAGTATTTTTTACTTCTTCGCTTTGTTCGTTACTTCCGAATACCACAATTGGAAAACACTCTTCCTTGGCTTTTTTTTAATAAAAATTTAATTAATAGATTAATCTCAGTAACTTCTAGTTTACTTTAATTATCACGAAACGCACTTTCTGAGTTATAATATTGATAGTTGTAAGTTTTATACTTTTTGAGAATATCAAATCAGAGTTCTGTAGCAAGTCATCATCATCAAAAGTTGTATGTGGACAGCTCATAGTATTGGGTGTGATGCAAAATATATTGACTAAACACTCACCTATTTCTATAGTTATTGTATGTGTCCTTGATCTTCCTATATCTAAAAGCCAGTTTTCGCATCCAATCTACTCCGCCTCTGACACCAGGCGCACATAATCCGGTATTAGGTGCCGCTCCCGCATGGAATCCGTCTGAGGCGAAGTTGTATGCAGACAGATCCTGCCCGTTATCATCTGCCGCTACTGCATCTATGTGCTCCTGATCGCAATCCTAAAATAATATTTTAAAAGTTATAGTTTGAGGCTGTAATCTCTAGTATTACTGAAAATTCTCTTGCTAGTGGAAAACTACATTATGCTTGAGTGACATAGGCTACACTCTAATTGAAGAGCTTGGCTACAGTTTCTTTATATGTATGAAGTTTTACAGCTTTTTTATGTGCAACAAATAGAAATCACAGTTTTTAAAATTTCACATTGACATGCATTTATTAATGATTATTAAGTTCATAATTTTATTATTACATTAGAAAACAAAGAGAATATATTAATGAACTAACCTCTACATCATTGAAGAAGAAATGTGTGTCAGCTAAGCTAAATATCATTTCTTCCATTCTAAATCCTAATTGAATGATCTGTTGTGTATCCTGTGGATAAAGAAAAACTTAATAAAAACAAAACTAAAATACAATATAAGCAATGATAAAAATTACTTCAATGAAAAGAAATTTGAGCTAAATATTTTTTTATATGAAACTATCATGAATGTTATTATCAAAACTTGCCTTATTGTACTTAGTAGCGTATGTGCCCGTTAGCAATGAATGAAAAATAATGATTGTCTCATCAAGGTCCCATATGAAGACCCTGTCAGTGGCAGGTTCAGGGACGTGTTGAGCAGGTGATGACGATGTGTTACGTCTCCCTCGCCCTCGTGATCTGCTTGTTGTGCTTTCCCTGGAATTCAAGGATAACTAAATTTCAGGTTCCATTCATTTTAGGGAGGCATGTTTTTGATCAATAATTTTTAAATAAATAATAAGTACAACAAAAAATCCATTCATTTGGTCTCAACTAATTAAGTAATAACTCTTCCTGTATATGTAGAATTTTAAATTGTGGTTTTGCAAAGCCTTAACTTCAATGTTCAGTTAACACCACATAAAAGGTTATCTGTAAAATATCCAAGCCCAAGAAAAAGCAAATTGATATTGACTGTTAAGATAGAAATAAACATACCCAGAGTTTTCCCTGCATCTTCTGCTTGCCGCATGGATTTCACTTTTTATTGGTGACAGCGGACTTGTGTCTGTTAGAGCAGGTAACATTGATGAAGGTGAATCTGAAGCAAATAGAACTGTTGATAAACAAACATTCTCCACCGCGAATAACAGTATCTCACTGTAAAATTTAAGTCAAATGAATGTGGTCATTTATTTTGATAATATTTTAGAACTAAAACATATTAAGCATGATATATTAAAGTTGTAAATAAGGAGGTTTTTTTTATTGACAACTGATCAAGTCATCAGGTTCATACTAATAATATTGAATTACAAAGAAACATTCTAACATAAGTGTATTTATTGCTTGAAAACAATAATGAAATTCATAAGTCTAACATCACTAATTCAATACGATATAACATACGGTCACTATCAGAATCTGGCCAATAATCCGAGTCATCATTGTGAGCTGCAGGAGACTGATGTTCTGAATCACTATCATCCAATTTTCTCCTTTTACTCTGAAGATAATTCTCGTTTTCCTTATTCATTTCAATTGAATTTTGATCCGAGATTTCTATCAAGAATTCTTTTATAACCGTAGAAAAAATGTATTACACATTAATACTTTACTAAGTTTTTTTTATTCAATTGTACTCTGAATGATGATTTTCTTTAATATCACATTTCTCTTCAGTTTATTCACAAATTAAAACAACAAAACAAAAGCAACCAACACCAAGACGTCACGTCGGTGTAGAACAGAACGTCAATGTCACTGTGATTTGACGTTTCGTACGGTTGGCCATTCTGTTTGTCAAATAAATTTACGATGCGTTCAAAGCTAGTTAATTATTTGCATGGACATAGGTTTTTGCTAAGATCCTAAACATTTTCGGGAAACTAATACTAAGAACAAATAAAACTATAATTTTAATGTGAATAAAAAAACTGTAGTAAAAAAAACCTATTTAGAAAAAGATTGTCTCTGGAGGAATGGACGGTGATTAAAACGATGATTTCTTGAACGAATACCTGATAATGCTCCTCCTAAGTGATACGAAGTGTGTCCCGCACTCCCACTGCTGCTTGGCGAGCTGACGTAAGGAGAATAACTAGGTGTCGCGTAATAACCACCATATTGGGCCACGTTATGTTCTGCATATCCTGCTGCATAGCTGCTATAGTCCTGGTAAAATACAACAAAATATTTTATTTATTATTTTTAAGCACCATTTCTATTTTCTGATAAGAGATCAAGCACAATAAGAATTTTCTACTTCCCATAGTTACTTTTTGTATCGCTTTTTGGGACAACTAACAAAAGCACTAACAATTAGCGAGGAAGTAGTTCATTTCGTAGAAACTTTGATGATGACGATAACGATACAAATACTTTCTCGCTAGTTGTTCGGGCTTGGGGTACTGTTCTAATTAAAGTAATTTCACTATATACTGCATGGTATAAAAAGCAATAAGATGTTTTAACGTAGTTTAATGATTAAATTTTTTTCTGTATTCCTGATACCTATTTAATTTTATTAAGAAACTTAATATTTCTTTGCTTAACCACCAAAATCAGTGATACATAATATACATAGAATGTAAACGCTATGTTATCAGGTTTTTTTTTAAATAATGAAATCTGCTTAAAGTTTGGTTCGATTTTGAGCTCAACCTTAGTGTCATTTTACGTTAAAAATAAAGTATTAAATGTAGCAGCAATAGAATAACCTGTTGTGCGGTCGGGAAGGACTGCGACAGTCCACCGTTGTAGGAGGAGTACGCGTAAGGCGAGGGCTGCGCAGCGAAACCGGTACTCGACACACCGCTCACCCCGCTCACGCCGTATGCGCTCAGGTACGTCGGCGTCGCTTTACATGACGACCTGCTTAACACATTGAAGAATTATTATGAAATCCAAATCATGGTCAAAATTCCTAAATAAAAGTTACTCGGCTGGGTTTGGAGTTAGTTAAGAAGAAAGAACAAGATGTAAAATATGTTGAAAAACTTGCAAATTTATAAAATGTGTTTCACATCAAAGTACATAAGTACTTTACTTTATTAATACACAGCTGCTCATAACTGTAGTAGTTGTTAATGGAAACTTGTTCATGTATGTTATTATCTATATTTTAAAAAAATGCTTTCTTAATTTAAATCGACATGTCGATTGATAAAAATCATTGAGAAAAAATATTTTATTATGCCTTTCCTATAGAAAAAATAGAACTGCTTATATTTCCGTATTCTCTAGTTCAGCTTTATTTTCGGAACACTTAGCGATTGTGTCAATTATAATTCATAGGATATATTAACTGCAATAAGAAAAATGTTTTACCTATTATTAGTATTGTGCGGCGACGGATATGCTCCATATGGTTGATTGTATAACGTTGAACCAACGTATGATGAGGCAGCACCCCCTCCACCATATTGTTGCATACTGAAAAAAACAATAACAATTATAAATTCTCTTGGTCACTAAAAAGAAGACAGAAGATACACGAGTAATATTCTAGGATGCAGTAGATGTTTTTGTAATTAATAATTTTCAGTAAAACAATGCAAAACAATAATGTCACCGTAGTCAAAAAGAGAAATCAAACTGTTGAAGTATGAAGAATGCTAAATTAAAATAAACTCTAACCATAATTGAACGACTTATTGAGATTGATTGAGATCGCTCTCGTCGTCACTCGGGGCAAGAACGTGAATGAGGAACTTTGTTAATTCATTAGCCATGAAATTCGTTTTATAGCCAGTAAATTTAAACGGACCATCAATTGCGTTGATGACCATAAACCTCATGTACGGTACCAGTAACGTTGAAACTATGGGTTCCAAGGCGACGTATTATAAATTTATACCGCTATGTCCACGTAAAATAGTGAATTAAGAGATGTAAGCCAGGATCAACGTTGAATAAGATTATTTGGAATAAATTCAATATAACAGAGTTACAAGTACCTACCTACTCATCGCATGGTTTGAGTGAATAATTTTGCAACAATAATTTGATGGATCTTTTTTAACATTTCCCTATATGTATAACAACATATAATGATTGTGGTACTACTTTAAAAAAAAATGGGTGCGTGTACTTATGTAGGCGCGTGAGAAGTTATCCTTCTTTGGCATCGTTTAAAATTAGTTTTTAATTGCATGCAAATAATTAATTACAATAAATTAATAAAAAGTCTGGAAAAGGACACAGTCAATAAAGTTCAGTTTTAATTTGAAAAAATAAATAAATAATCAAAATATTCAATTAAAATCGCTACTGAATATAATTTATTAGAACATATGTGATTTACACTTGTATGAAACTCAAACACGTATTCCGAATATACAAACTAGAAACATGTGGATAAATATTATAAACTAGTGGCCCGCCCTCGCTTCGCTTCGGTGTAGAGCTGAAGTGTAGACTACAGTTTTTGTTCTCAGGCTTGTATTATACACAATGACATTCATCTATGATTCTTCTTATACCTGCATGCAAAGTCTCAGCCCCATCGGTTTAAAATTGATAAAGTTTCATACAAACTTTCATTCCTTATTTTATCCCCTTGGGATTTTCTTTATATTTTTTTCCGTAAGAACCTTGTACAGAGTATTAGAAAACTACAAAAAAAAAAACAGCCAAATCGGTCAAGCCGTTTTCATGTTATGTCGTGACAACGGAAAACGGGTTTCATTTTTATATATATAGATATGAAAACAGTCTCTGTTCTAAATTCAAAACTCGTAACTTTTCCCGATGTTTGTTGTACGTGTTTCCCGCGCTAGGACCGCGAGTGGCCGCGCATGCGTACGGTGCGGCGGGCGACGCGGTAATGGCAGCGCGGCACATGAAGTTGGTCGCTAAAGCGACCAACTTCATGGTGTTAATTTTTTGTGTTACAGATGCGCGCGCATCTTAAAATTTCACTCTCATAATTTTTTTATAACGCGCCTAAAGAAGTATAACTTCAAAAAATTACAGTTCATCAAACCACACGTCTATATTCCTAATCCTATATATTCTTCCCCTCACCATAAGTAAGTAGGTTTTATTTCATATAAGTATAAAAATCAATGAAGGAAGTGTGGCATCATTACTACTGCGGAATTTTGGGTGTTCGCCATTGAATGGCTTCTTAAAACCGTACATTGACCCCAATGAATTAAGTCGCCAGAAACAATCAGCTATGTTGATTGAGATATATGATGTTGATAGTAGATAAAGCGAAACTTCTAAATGGCTAACTTATCAAAAGTACTGAAAGTACCTACCTATTGAAAAACTAACAATCTAAGTTCTTAAGCAGCAACAGGTGATGATAATAAATTAATATTTTAATTGACTGTTATTGACATATTTATTGAAGATATTAATATTATTAGATAAATGGCAATGCCACTGCTCGCCGCACCTTTGAACTTGCTTAACAATAAAATGTCAAAGGTTAAAACTTAGTCATAAATAATTATAATTATCGTTTCATAAATGTGATCGGCTGAGATGTTTCAATAACCATTAACTATTTATTCATTTATATATGTCACAAGAAATTAGGCATTATGAGCCGACCTTGATTATTATGGAATATTTAAAGAAGTCTGGTTTTAAAAACTTAAAACTGGAATTTCTTACTAACGCTAAATACCTATTTTTTAAACTTTTTAAAAATTGCTTGCAAATATATATGCGATATGTCTGCCAATAACATCTTCTCGCAATTACTTCAGTTACTCCGTGATCATGGCGCTTGCATCAGTGACGAAATATCGGAAACAATAAAAAACAAGGTACATGGTAACCATAACATTAATAGCTATAATTGCTTGCAAAAGTTGCCCTATTTGCCCTACCAATTATATATTAATGAATTTATAAAGGAAAAAGAATTACAAAGCTGATGTATACAATAGTATTCGAGTTGACGAATGTTAACAGAACAACAGTTAAGAGTTAAATTGAATATGATTCTTATTCTGATATTTATAAATACGGAATTCACAAATTGTGTAAGTAAATTATCAAATTAGTTCACGAACAGTTGGCCAATATAATGTTGATAGTGTTGTTTTACACTGAATCGTCATATTATAACGTCATTAGTTGCCTAGGTCTTTGAGGTCTTCGTTTCCGTACTTATATATATGCGTAGATGCACGAAATGGTTATTCATAAAATAATTCATTCATTATAATATACCAGTAACCTGTCTAAACTATTACTCGAAATGAAAATAATATGTTTGCAAATGCATACACTTTAACCAATGCTCAATTGACAACCAAATATAAGTTATCTGTCAAGCTCAAATTTTTTTTTTTGTATTCGTATAGTATTTCTGAGCTCTAAATAGTTACGATTTATTTTGAAGATGAACCTAAATTTAATATTATTGTATGAAAAACCATTTCACTATGTCTTTTGTGACATTGTGACAGTTGGTCGGTGCTGTATGAATACTTACCTATTGTAATACTGGTAAGGCAGTGTGCTTTGTTCGTACGGAAGTGATTCTCCGTATAGCGCCACTTCGCCCTCGCACAGCCCTGGGCTGCGCACCTCACTCTTGACTCCTCCTGGATTTTGAAATACCGGTAAATTTTTATTATTTTCTGCCAAAAATCGATCAAATACGGTTTGAAATTTTTTTTTTGAAATGTAATATGTGTGCCTTCTATTTTCTTGATGACCAAAATAAGGAAGGATACAGAAAAAAATATTATATTAACCTGCACTATCCTCATTCATCAACCAGGCGACTGCAGACGATGAGGAGGTCGAACACAATCCGCCAGCTGACGTCAGCGGCAACGCTAGTCCACCCAAAGCTGTGCTTGTGGTGCATCCGTTTGTAACACCACAGCTTTCCACGTCTGAACTACCAGGCAAGCACAGGCTGTCAACAGCTGACAGACACAAAGCTGAATTCGTTGAACTTGCTGTGTTCTGGAACAGTGTTGAAGAACCAGAAACTAGGAGCGCTGGCAACGTTGCATCCTGAAGTAGTGATGGCGGAGAGTTGGATGTTGACTCCGACTCACACGGGCTATTGTTGACTCCGCCGGATAATCTAAAAAGAGGAAAGCAATTCATTTATTTTTTCTGCTTGGCGCAACCAATTGTTTACTTGCCCGTAAACCCGACTTTTAAAGAGCCGGCTGTTAACAAAACATTGGAAATAAAAATCCACTAAAAGTGCCTCCCGTCTGTTTACGAAGACGTCTCTTTTTATAAACAACCACTTATCTGTAATGTCTTCATTTCGGAAGGAAGCAATAGAGTAGGACAATTAAAAGAATCGTTAAATAGAATCTTTTATTTAAAGCAATTGCGTTGAAGAATTTAATTCTTCAAACTTCGACATGATTATTAGTTCAAATACAAACAAGCCGTGGTAGTAAAAAAAGACATATACGTAGACGACGTACATATTGATTCAATTAAATGTTACATAAATAAACCAAATCACAAGCTGTTTATTCTTAATTAGCGCCATTAAAACAAACCGCCCAAATCAAATAACAGATGCCTGAGCAACAGACCCTCATATCTCATGTAGTTAGTGGATTTATCTAACAAAATGTTTACACGTGTCCCGATTAATTTAGCTCGTTATCAATGTCTCTGGATGCCTTCGCGCCATTTAATCAAAATCTCCCGCGCTATCACACGTGATAGTCCCAGTATGACGTCAATCTCATTTTCGAATTTGCTCTTCTGTTATGTTAACGAAATAAATATATAAATTTCTGAGTGAAATTTTTCGTTGCAGACTATTCATTTATGATGATGACAAATTTATCGTATTTTTTGATTTCGGGGCTAACTTTTCTTTTTAATATTTTATTCTAAAAAAAAATTAGTAGTGATTATGGCAGCTATAATTGCTTTTTTAATTACCTTCTGAAGGAACGAAGTCATTAGATTTATTTACATAAGTAATTATAATTTAGTATAATTTATGTCACTGCAAAAATATTCCATATATTTTAACCATAAAACAAGAAATGGCATCTTTTCTAACTTTTACAAGCAATTATACGAAAATAGAAATTCCAAAGTTGATACTTAAAAATCGATGATATGCAAAATTGTATTTAAGTACCAATTACCAAACGTAACACCTGTTGAATAGTTTTATGATTTTATTGGCTTAACGTTTTTTTATAACTGATGATAAGTCATTAATATTTCATATCAATTAGAGACATACCTAAATATCTTGTACTAGTAGCCCGCCCCCGCTTCGGTGTAGAGCTGTAGTGTAGACTATGGTTTTTGTTCTCAGGCTTGTATTATGACTTTCTTGATATAATTATAAACATTCCGTGTAAATTACATATAATTACTAATATCATAAAACTGGACAGTTTGTTATTTTTTGGTTGAACGCGCTCATCTCAGAATACACTACTGGATTTATAAAAAAATCTTTTGTGTTGGATAGTGCATTTAGCAAAGGCTTAGGCTATGTAACATCACGCTAGGACCAATAGGAGCGGAGTATCAATGAAACATGTAAAAAAATCCATTTGTTGCGTGCACTGGATTAACGGATAAAGTTACACAAAAATCATGTGTGATGGAATTATTCCCCTTTAAAATTTCTATAAAAAGTCCGCGTCAGACTACGTCTATCTTTTAAGTTTGGCTCACTATAACCTTTCTCCTTAAATTAACGTGGGTGAAACCGACGGGAACCTCTTGTTGTGACATTAATGTAATAGACAGACTTTTTTTAGATGTTGCTGAACTCTATAAAATTTTAGACATCTCTTTGCTCTATTGTCTATGACTTCCGCAGCGTGTACGGTAAAGGTAATATTTTGGTATTTTTTACACTTGGGTTACATTATCTAAATTTTCATACGGAACCCTATTTTTTTTGAAAATACTCTATAGCCTATGTTCATCAGGGATAATGTAGGATTCTAAATGTAAAAGAGTTTTGCAAATCGGTCCAGTAGTTTCAGAGCCTATTCAATACAAACAAACAAACTATCAAATCTTTCCTCTTTATAATATAAATATAGATTTATTTGACTCACTCGTTTCAGGTATTTGAAATGAATTTATTCACTTAGTCGTTTAAAATATTCGTAGGTAACAAATGTTCAGCTTCAATTTATCTGGGTCTGTAGTTTTGTTAGTTATTGTGATTTGTCTAAATTAGTTTAAAAAATATCAAACAATATTTTAAAGATTATTGTTTGATACAAATAAAGCTAGTCATAACAAACTGTGTGTTTTGGTCTGCAGTATTTAATGGTATTTTAATCAGAACGGTTTTGAGTAGGTAATTATACTGTTTACATGAAAAATATTACATCTTGCCGTGATATGAGGAAAATATAATCTTTTTTATGTACCAGGTTTAATAGACTGACAATTAACAAAAATGCGTATTCAATTAAGAGCATATATCTAGGTTTAGGTGAAAATGACTTCTTATTACGATTCGATTGAAGATAATAAATAGTTAAATAGTTCATTTGCTATTCACCAAGTCAGCACTGCCAAGCGGGATTCAAGTTACTAAAGAACCCGAAATATATACAAACACCAAGTTTGTTTACAAATTTATTAGCGGACGTAAATACTACGATAATTTATCAAACACGTCGTGTAGAACACCGTTGCCTTTGTGTAGAAAAAAGAAGCTCCTGTTTATATTAGTTTGCGCCTTTTTCAAGTGTCACTTTGCTTTTTGTCATGCCGCTCGAGAGTCCATCAAACAACACTATCGTATATCAAAAGGACGACCCGGGGCGGAATTCTCGGTTAATGTTGGCATTATTGTCACTATCTTTTTAATTGAATGCTTTTTAGATGTTCAGTCAAGCACTTTTCAGTCAGTAGTTTTTTTTATCGCAGTACCTAGTCATCGTAAAACAGCGTCAACTTTGTCTACAAAAGACTTCAAAGGTTTTTAATAGTCGCTTGTTTCATTGTGACGTAGGACGATCCATATGCTGTGGTAGATCCGTTTTAATTGTCACTAGTTTTGCTATCGCTTATCGTCAAATTTTGTTTGGTACGAATATATTTATTTTATTGCTTAACTTATTTTTCTATACAATATGTTTGTTTCGTGTTGTTAGTATTTCGGTTGCCGAATGTTTCATCTACACCCAGTCCATAATTAATATGCCATATTGTAATAGGTTAATTATTTAATAAAAATAAAACCATTACACCTTTCAAATCACATACCTACTTACTCGCATGATAAGTTAACGGTTAACAAGCCCTCCTCTAATTAACGAAAACAAAACAATAACTTACTGCCCTCTAACTAAATTCAATGGCGGCACGCTCCACTCGAGGACACAACACCTTGTTGTGCACAAGGGTTCCGGATGTAATCGTACCGTACGAGGTGACAAGTGCAATAACGATGTGTTAGAAAAATTGTGATTTAAATGAAAATAAAACCAACCATACTAAAGTGATAGTGAATTTATTGTCTCATATAATTAAGTAATTTGTTTATATTTTTATTGTATTGATTTTGTTTTTCTATGCAAAATGGCTTTTTTTGATAATTGATGAGTGGTCACTAATTTCCTTAATCACAATATTTTAATTGATTCAGAGCTCTAATTAAATTATACCGTCCTGTCTGCTAGCCTGGTCAGAAAGGATTTTTTTCTAGTAAAATTTTCTTTTATTTCTACCGTGTTTGTAGATAGTGAATTCTTTATTCCTTTTTGAGTTCTCGCCTCTATTCGTAATTTGCGTTCCCCATTTCTTATGATTTAAGATCATAAGATAATCATAATCATGTAGGTATTCTTTGCGAATTAAGTACCTGTTCATACTTTTAGACATTTAATCTAGGTTTTGCGTCGATCGTCGATACAATGGCGTCGATTCTGGCATGATTTTCTAAACCTAAACATAAATTTGACAACAGTGTATCCTTGTCATTCTCTATACAGAATGAAAAAGAGAGACGGATGTTAAATTAGTTTTAAGTTTAGAAAAGCATGCCAGAACTGACATCATTATCGCTCAGTATGCATATAATTTCTTCATAGTTCTAGTTTATTCTAAGTTTAAATGTAAGATAATTAAACACTAGTATTTTTAGCTTTGATTAGATTTAGAAATACTTGTGATAGGTCCACTGCTGTAATAATAATTTCGTTATACCTATTCTTTCATCCTAAACGTATATTACGGTACTTAGTGATAACAAAGTGTCACAAATTCTTTTACGGATTTTAATAGGGGTATCCTAAAACACAGTAGTCCCTTATGCGGCTGCCATTTGGTCTCCACGTGGTGTGCCCTCGACCGCTCAAAGGATCTATTATTTGCGTGTAGGTTTTTTTATTAACTGCCAAAAGCTGAATTTTACAGATGGCACTGGCAAAAGAATGACACGTCCACAAATGGAAGGGTTCAAATTGATGATCACTGTGATAAATTACATAAATATGTAATTGGCAGATAAACAGATAGAGTTTAAATTCAAACAATTTAAAATATACTTCCACCATCGGTATAATCGTTAGTATAAAGTGAACAAAATAAGTATATTTTTAGATTTGTTTCCATGATTTCCATTCTACGAAATGCTAATCTCAATAACAAATCCAAACTCAAAGTTCCGAATAAGTAAACACGTTTAATTACGCAGTTTCATATTGCACACATCCCAAGTCTTAATAATAGACAGGATATATATAAATGTATAAATAAAAAAACCACTAAAAGAGAATGCAATACGATACTCCAGATCCTGCCTGTCAAACTTTAAAAAGTACCACCATACAACGGAACGGAATTGCTCCAAAAATTGATTTATATCAGTTAAAAGGTGCTATTTTGGAAAGTAAAAAAAGCTAAAAATGTCACGTTAACCACTAATTAACCTAACTAATACGTCTCTGTCGTAGAATGTGGCGTTGCATAGCAAACAACATTTATCTTTATTTTTTTCTTGTCGAGAATTCGTTGAATGTTTCAGATCGTGCAATAAACAATATTTTATGAATGTGCGATCAGCCAATTTGGATCCTGAATTTTTGCTTAAATATAGGTACGTTTCCCTGGTAACAAATTTGTTATTTTCTGAACAATCATATTTGATGTGTTTTGGACTAAGGATTAACCTATTGGTTAACCAACGTTTTTTATAATATCAAGATATCGAAAGAGTTTTTGTTACATTTATGATTTAACAAGTGATTTCAAATATATTTCATATATATTAACACAGTTTTCTTATAAGTTTTATTTTTTAAGCATGTAACTGCTTGATATTTAAATCTACTTTTTAGTAAAAGGCCCTAAGTGCAACTACGCATTTTTTACAAAGGAAAATTTATCTGTTTTGTCATTTATAAGCGAAATATCAGGAACGTTTGTTAGGAATCAATTGGATCGATCGTATATAAATTGATTATTTTCAAATTACAGCTGGAGCAGCAAAAATTTATATATATTAATTTTATCAATTCAGCTTAAAGATAACAAATATATTACAGAATGTAATAATAATGCATCTTTCACAATTCATCGAGCAGGTGTATGTATTACCAAATGTCAAAATTCCATAAAAAAAGGTACTCTAAATTCCGCACATCTTCATATCCCCAAATCGGCGCGGTGTAACATAAAACCCATTGTGTCCTCAAAATCAGTTCCTTTGATCGGGGCGTGATAATTTGTGAGGCTGCAGATAAACGGGCGTGTTCCATTCGGGAGTTTTATTAAGTAGCTCTTTTCACGGCAATTGTGTGCCGACAATATAGGGATTACACGGGATTATGGACCCTTGTTATTGTGAGTACTGTCAGCATAAACCTCGTATTCGAAAGGAGCCAGATATCGATTTTTACAAATGTTCAAATGTTTCAGATTTATGTTTCCAATGTGAAATAAATTCTTTAAGTATTTAAGATCTTTTTTACGTTACTTTTCATTTTATGATTAAACACTCTCTAAAAATGAAAAATATGAATTTCACTTCACTTTATGAAAAGTTAAACTTTACTGCGAATGCGAAAACATGACATTACATAAAGTTATGTCTGATAATTTGACATGAACGCAGCCTAAACAAAATTGCCAACATGAACATAATCCAAAACATTTAAATTAAAAAAATGGAAGCTTCCTCTTTAAATCTTACATAGTATGTAAAAGCGTTTCTCAAATAAATTATAAAAAAATAACACAATAATGATTTTATTTATAATTTTTAAATTACCTACTTACTTAAAACGAATACCAAGTAACATTACGAATATAACAGTTTATATTAACTTACCTATCAGGCACATCTGTGTTTGTGTCTGTTCTTGGCCTTTTTGCCTGAAACAAAACAATGACAAAAGATTAGACTTTTGTTAAACATAAAGCCTTACCTTTAGGAGCGTTATTATCGGTCAATAATATCGGATGCATTAATGCGATAATTCATGCTACTATTACGTCGTTATTATCGCAGCAGTGTCTGCCTTCGAAGTCCTCATAGTTAAAGTCAATGGCCGTCCTAATACATAACGTAGGTACTAAGATAAAACAGATATCACAATAACGCATTCGGTATTGTCGGTAGATTGAGTAAGCCTCTTGGCCTAAAATATGAAATAACAGATGACGATTAATAATAAAATAATGGAATATAACATGCTGCTACCATACCAAATAACTAAAGTGGATCATGCAAACAGGTTCTCTGTTGTTAGGCCAAGCGAGTGGTATAGTATCTACTTATAAAAAGTGCATTATACATTATCATTGTTAGGGTCGTATTGTTAGTCAAAAAATAATTATTGGAGTTCGCGCCAATGCGCCTCCGACTCCTCCCGCACAGACCACAAACACCAACACTACACAGCTAGCAAACTAGCACACTAGCTTAGGATTAGACAGACATCGCACCCGTAGCACGGTAATAATATCATACAGTATTCTATCTTCATACAAACGGTCGGAAAGCGAGTCATACCTACGCCACTCGAGTTCGATGTGCTCTCGGCGGGCACCCAGTCGCGAATGCGCCGCGCCGCAACGACGACCGAACGGTCTGAATTGTTTTTTATGCAGTTAGCCGTGCTTAAACATGCGTTTTGTATTGTAAATATTTGATTTAATTAAGTAGATACCTACATAATTTAGTATGGAAAAGAACAAACGACGATCAGTATCGTACAACAGCACAATTGCTGTTTTTGGTTGCTTGAACTCTTCAATAACACACCCAGAGATATCATTTTTTAAATTACCTGAAATATTGGAAAGGTGTCTTACCTTTATAGAATATTTTTATATACCTATCTACTAGTACGTTATTTGTTTCTAATATTTAGGTATTTCGGTTTTTCCATCGGGCAAAATATCTGGAATAATATATAAATAAGTGGTTAGGATGAAAAAAGAGACAAACGAGTAATCTACCTACACTCCGATACAAACAAAACTACATAAAATACTGTAGGCTGGCGGCCCTACCGCGTGCCAACGCAGCGTTCGGTGTAGGCATTTATTTTCAAGGACAGGGCGGAGTCACAATACTATATAGATAATATTACCGTGCCCGTAGGATAAGAGTGCGAAGACCCGGTCTAAATACGAGACGCTATACCAGGTACAGGGACGTTCTTTTTCCCCGCCCCCCACGTCAACGGCTTACTAGAGCCGAGGTCCGTGTCTCAGAGACTAGTTGAGTCGACCCCTCATTTCCAAGTCTAGAGGCTCCAGACGGAGAGGAGACACCCCACGTGGAGAGATGCCATCCGCCTGGAATACGTCTCGAGCACAGACTCTAGAGGCACTCGAAAATTCTTGGCTTGAGGTCTCCTTAGGATCTCGCCGTCCCCAAACCCAGTGACGCTGTAAAGGTCATTTGCGACCAACAGCATCCATACTGCTACTGTAAACTTTTCAACTGCTGCATTCCGTGTTTTTGTTACGCTCCCCAGCCATTGAGATAAATATTGTTATTTTTCGACTTTCAAAGTAGTTAATAAATTAGGTATTATATGAAGTTTTATCTGTCGATTATATTATCAAAACAGATTTTATTAAACAATTGTGATAACTTGGTGATAGATAACAAACAAATTCTTTACACGATACCTAAGTCTAGACGATCATGTTTTCGAAAACTTTACTTGCATATTAATTTGTGTAGAACTTTATAAAAATGGTAGTATGTACCTAATTGGAAAGCGTTAGTAGATTATAAAAAAGAAATAGGTTACACGTACCTGTGTAATGACAATGCTAGTATTTACGGGATATTTCCAAACATTGTGCAACCTTCTAGGAATCACTGTTGAATGTCTAAAGAATTGAATCGTGTTTACGACTTTTACTGGGGTTTGGTTCATATAGGGGAATAATCCTACTAATATTAGAAATGTGAAGTTTGTATGTTTGTGTATTTGTGTGTTTGTTACTCAATCATGCAAAAAGTACTGAACGGATCTGGATGAATTTGGTATGCATATAGTTTATGACCTGGATTGAGACATGGGTACTTGTTAGCCCAGTAAAAGTAAGGATCCTGTGGGATTCTCTACAAAACTAAAGTTACGAAGAAAACGAAGTCACAGGCAGTTCTTAATAACACCATTTGCAACTTGTGAACTTAGAATGGAGCCGAACTTGGTTCTTGGGGGGGCGAGCCGGGCATTCGCTCAGAGACGCAAAAATTAGTATTTAAATTATCTATATGGGTTTGTTTGTGGGTAAACAAATGGTAATTTGTTTTGTTATCTAATTTTCGGAACTGCTATTTTAATTTAATAATTCTAGATACAATATAGCAAAATATGTGATGTCACAATCACAACCAAATTTCAACCAAACCGTTCAGTTGTATTTTGCGTGATAAACATCCATGACTGGAGAACAAATGTTCGTATTTATCATACAAACATCTGCCCCCACCGGGATTCGAACCTCTCGAGTAGGCGTCACCTTGAAATCCGGCGTACAAACCACTCGGCCACGGAACCGAGGTTCGAGTCTCAGAGACGCCCTCTAGTTGAGCCGACCCTCTCAGGTTCAAATGGTCTAGAGGCTCCAGACGGAGAGGAGACTCCCCCCGACTGGGGAGATGCCATCCGCCTGGAATACCTCTAGAGGCACTCGCCAATTCTCGGCTTGAGGTCCCCTCAGGACGCTGTAAAGGTCATCTGCGACCAACAGCATTCATACTCAAAAAAAAATCGTCGGAATAATGATTGAAATAACATGCTTTTTGCTAAGTTTTGCCACGCAATACCTAAAATCATGCTAGTACCAAGACATTTATAAAAATACCGGTCAAGGACGAGTCGCACCACGTACAATCCATCACTTAAATTAACAACTACGTAGGCACCTAAAAATATCATGACAAATATAAGACGAGAAAATTTAACTCGAAAATGTACAAAACGAAATCCCCATATAACCAATTTAAATTCCACAATAAATGTTGGTAACGGTTGACAAAACTGAGCTCTCTAACAAGATGGCCGATAACAGCCTTGTTATAAATAATAAAGGTCCTAAACTTCTCCCCAGATCAAGATATGGTAACGACATTAATAAAATCGGTCCGGATTTCTTAGCCCGGGCGCCACTGTCTTCATTTTGAATACATACTTACTTACAGATTTGTATGATATCGGTTTTAAATTTTTATTAGGTTTTGTTAAGTAATAGCGATTCTTGTTGCATGTTCTTTAGAATAAGTTCTTATCAACTTGAGCTGTTTACAAGATTTAGGTATTACTAAAGCCTGGCCGCTGGACTGGAACGTATTTTTGGAGTATTGGTCGTCTGTAACAAACACTGTTGGATCTCAAGTGGTAAATGTCGATGTCGCTGACAATTAAAATTTATAATCAAATTCCAGAAGAAATTCAAAGCCATACCTTTAAGAACTTCAAGTCAAAACTTCGAAAGTGGTTAAATGAAAACACATTTTACAGTATTTTGAGTTCATGAAGTATGGTAAGAGTTGATGCACGGGTTAAGGACATGCTTAATGGGTTTAAATATTAAACTCATTACAATTTTGTCACCAATAAATTGACAACATTGAATAAAAATAATGTTATAATAAGAATTACTGACGTTTACTTATATAGGTAATGGAATAGAAAATTTGCATGTTATCTTTTTATGACTAAACTAAGATACAATTTGATTTAAATGTAACATCATTAATTGTACCCTATTTAATGCAAATAAATTGAATTAATATTTCTAAGACTGTAGACTGTACGAAATTGACTAATCTATAAGTGATGAAGCTGAAACTAGCAGACATTGAAGCAGACTCATCCAGCAGCGGGACCGTTACAGACAGCTAAACCTATTTCTGGCCACTGTTTTGATTATTCTTATTTATATAAAAGTAAAGGAATTAATCAAGTCGATTTCACGAGGGTACCGAACGCTATGTATCAAACTTATGCTCTTGACTTTGAAACCAATTTCTGGGTGCTAATTTCCTAACGAGATTGCTATAGCTATCCCTTTCGCTAAAGATTTAATTTGTTATTTCTTTAATATTGCTATGACTAATGCAAAAGAAAAAAAGAGCGGCAGACATTTGAAAACCTTCGGCGGTCAGAAATAACGAAATGAAATCGTAAGCGATAGGGGTAGTCATAGAAATTCCGCTAGGCGATTGGCCCCCTGGCCACTGTCTTGATTTTTCTTATAAAGAGACTAGAAATGTCTAGTTATCACAATGCATTGATTGTTCAGCAGTTCAGCATAGAAAATTCACAGAAATAAAAGAGGAAGATGACGAACAGGACGAATAAAAGATATAATTTTACACTGTTTCTTAATTAATCATAATGTTGTAAGTGAATATTTATTAAGAGTCGTCGCAGGATTATATAAGTATTAGCCTGCCACCATATATTTGCCGGCTTCAATCCGATTCTTCTACTTCGGAGAGTTCTTGCATCCTTTTTACTATAGCTTCAAAATAGCGATATTCGGCTGTTATTTTTAGTTAGGTGTAAGTAGAATACTTCTTCCGTATTTGAGCGGGAAGTCTGTTCATTTCATTTCAAATGAAGATAGTATTTGAACCAATATTGCCATGTTAAAGTTCTTCAGTTCACCAGGTGTACTATAGGAGGGCATGCGTGTGAGAAAGGGAGTCAAGTCTTTGGCCGACTAGCATCGTATTTTACTAACTCGCAGAGCTCTTCAAACCTTAAATAGGAGTAGTATAGTACTATAGGAATATAAAGCTACATGAGAACTTCCTCCGTTTTGTTTTCGGTTACACATAGAAGATATTATTCATACCATCCATTGGGAAAGCCTGTGCCCCAGCAGTGGGGACATCA